ACGAAAATCGAACCTAAGACCTCTTACTTACAAGTGAAGAGGAATATCACTAGACCATAGTACTAAATGGTTGTAAATATGTGTTTTAAATTAGAGAAATGCTAAAGGACTCTTTCAAAATTGGGACTCCCCATTGACTCTCCCCAACATCATATTTTTGACACAATGTTTTATAATGCTGTCACATAAATTAACATTAAACTGTGAAATGATAGATAGTTACACTTTTTAGAGTCTCCACAGCATTTCTGGATAAATTGCTATTATATATTTATTGCTATTATGCACAATTATTATTATCTATAACTATTACTATTTATCTGCTCGGCATGCCCAAACTGGTTGTTGAGGGAAAAGGACGGCCCTTGACTATAATTGAAGTGGTAGGGGAGCATCGACTGTACCTGTGTTGAATTGGTTAGGTACCACCCAATTGGATAATTGCTGACAAAAACACTCAAGAATTCTTCTATTTTAACTTAGTTAAGTTAGTGTTGAACTTGAACGATTAGGTTTTCAAGCTCATTGCAGTTAGACAAAAGTATTATTCTTGATTACATGACTTGAAAAGGAATGATGATCTTTTCTGGATCATTTTTGTGTGGATCCTGAGAATCCTCAAATTATGTTCGTTCATCGTACATTGTACGATTATAAATTATTTTAAATTAAATATGAATAGTATATGACGAAAAATGACCACACGATACAATAAACGAACACGATTTGAGAATCCTTTCCGGAACCTCAATGTGCCGGGGACTTTGGGCGTTATTTTTAAAGTGCCGGGGGAATTTGGGTGTTATTTTTTGTTCGACAACTTTTTTTTTGGGGGTGAATTTGGGATTTGGATCCTCTCCTGAGCTACTGGAGAGGATCCTCCTAACCCATCATCGTGGGCTGTTGGATTTTTATCTAACGGTTACAAACAAGGAGATCATTTTAAAATTATAATAATTGTAGTCATTGAATAAAAATTCAACGATTAACGATGATGGATCAGGAGGATCCTCTCCATTAGATCAGGGAGAATCCAAATCCGTGAATTTGTTTCACACGAACTAGAAAGTTGAGCAGCTAACAAAGGCAGTAAAGAACTAGGAAATCAACCACCACGCTCGTGCGTCAACCGTTAGGAAAGCACGTGATGCCCCGGAAGCTGAGATAAAACAGAGAAAGCGGGCGTGAGCGGGTTAGGCCGCCAATGTTAGCTGGGGTTCGCAACACTCCACCAGCCCCCCACTATAAATATTTTATAAGCTTCTCCAGTCCCTCACCCAGCAACTATTCCAAGTACCTATTTTCCATTGATTTTTCAAGAGATATACTTCAGTAAGCACGTACACACAAGATATGGGATCCGAGTCCGAATCCGTTTGTGTCACCGGCGCGTCCGGTTTCATTGGCTCTTGGCTCGTCATGAGACTCCTAGAGCACGGGTACACCGTCCGCGCCACCGTGCGTGACCCCAGTACGTCCCTCCCTCCCATGTTTTTTTTTCTTTTAACTTTTCGGTTTTCATAAGTATTCGAATTATATAATTTGGAGTTAATGATTTGTGGTTAATTATGAATGGATTACAGCGAATCAGAAGAAGGTGAAGCATCTGTTGGACTTGCCGAAGGCGGAGACGCACCTGACGCTGTGGAAGGCGGACTTGGCGGATGAGGGAAGCTTTGATGAAGCCATACAAGGCTGCAGCGGAGTGTTCCATGTTGCTACACCTATGGACTTTGAATCCAAGGATCCCGAGGTAAAAAAACGATACATGTTCTAAACTATTGTGGTATACGAATAAGGGAAATTTAAACTTAGACAAACTCGTTGTCCTCGTCACAGTTGCAATTATAAATCGGTGATACTGGTGGTGGTGCCAATGGCGGTGTTAGATTGCCCATGGTAGCTGGTAGCTTTAGAAAATAAATTCAATCAGGCAGCAGACCAAGTCCCTTTTGGAAATTTTATTTTGGCTTAGACAAAACAAGTTAGTGGTCAAACACTTTTAAAATTTTGTAAAGAAGTGATAAATTTATTTTAAATTAATTTAAAATTGCAGTAAGGAAGATTTTGAACAAATGCAATAAGGAAGATTTAAATGAGGATATATAAGAGGAGCAAATCCGCTATAATTAGTGTGGTTATGTTCGCGTCTAAGTTAATGGACATAGTTTGTTATTTCGTGCTTATTAACACAAAACGACATAGTAATGGGACCCAGATGCTTGGTGGTTTTCCTTGCAATAGCACATCGTACAAATTATAAAATGTGATAGGTCATTTTAAAAAATAAAAAATTGTTTTAAATAAGTATGAGATCATTTTAGAGCAAATAATTGAGAATTAAATATTAGAAGCACTAGACCTTTTGTTTTAATATGTATATTTTACAAAGAGAAAGGTTATTGACACTTCAAAATTCTCATTCTACACTCCTCGTAAGTGTATTTTTCTTTCTAAAAATAGAAAGTTTGGAGTGTAAAATGAGAATTTTGGAGTGCCAATAACAATTCTCTTTACAAATTGTGCAACTTATGTAGAATGTTTATTCTACAAATTTTTAATTCTACGTCGCACAATGTCACTTGTATTAAAAGATAAATTAAGAGAGAAGTTATCACCAAAACAAGAATAAAAAATTTAAAAAAAAGGAAAAAAAAAAAAAACTAAATTGTGTATGGTTTGACAGAATGAAGTGATCAAGCCAACAATCAATGGACTGTTGGACATCCTGAAGGCATGCCAGAAAGCAAAAACAGTTCGAAAGCTTGTGTTCACATCCTCAGCAGGAACTGTGAACGTGGAGGAGCACCAAAAGCCGGTCTACGACGAGTCCAACTGGAGTGACGTTGAATTTTGCCGCTCTGTCAAGATGACTGGTTGGGTAAGTCGACATAATCAAATTATTAAAAAATTGTTATCAGTGCTTTAAAAAAATGGTCACGCACAATACTGATTTTACATTTAATCTACTAATTGTTCAGATGTACTTCGTCTCCAAGACTCTAGCTGAGCAAGCTGCATGGAAGTATGCCAAAGAAAACAACATTGATTTCATCACCATTATCCCAACTCTTGTGATTGGGCCATTTCTCATGCCATCCATGCCACCAAGCCTCATCACTGGACTTTCGCCGATCTTAAGTAAATTAGAATATCGCTCGAATAAAATAAATAATTATTGTGCAGTTTTATTGTTAATTATATATTAATATCGGGTAATTGACATCAAATTGCTTAATTGTTGCAGGAAATGAATCACATTATGGCATCATCAAGCAGGGTCAGTATGTTCACTTGGACGACCTCTGCCTTTCTCACATTTATCTGTACGAGCATCCGAAGGCCGAGGGCCGCTACATTTGTTCGTCACACGATGCTACAATTCACGAACTTGTAAAAATGCTCAGAGAAAAGTACCCCGAGTACAATATACCCACAAAGTAATTATTAATTAAGCCTCCTAACCCTTCAGATAAATTGATTAACTAATCAATTAACTGTTGCACATATCATAATTGTTAGCTAACTAAACTCTAATGCAACGCAGGTTCAAGGGCATTGACGACAACTTAGAACCTGTTCATTTTTCTTCAAAGAAGTTGAGGGAGATAGGGTTTGAGTTCAAGTACAGCTTGGAGGACATGTTTGTGGGGGCTGTCGATGCGTGCCGGGCAAAGGGCTTGATTCCGATTCCGGCACAGAAAACTGAGGCTGCTGAGGAGAGCAACCTCGTTGATGTCAAAGTTGGCAGTTAAAATATTGATGAGTGATTAATGTTTGCATTTTATGTCGAAGCTTACCTCTCTATTGTTTTACATTTACCAGCTTGGATTTGATCTATTTTGTTAAAAAGCTTCAAATAAAATGCTGTTTCGAATTATGTATGAGAGTTAATGTTAATGTGGCTATGTGCAAGCAAAAATAAGTTTCTCCAATTAACTATTAATATAAGAAAGTGTGTGACTCAAATTATTATTAAAAAAAGGCTTTTTAGGCACACGGTCCCTGAGATTGTCATAATTCATCACTTCGATTCCTGAGATTTGAATTCGATAAAAGTGATCCCTAAGTTTGTCTATCATCAATTATTTCAGTTATTCCGTGAAAATTTCTATCAAATAAGGACCAAATGACAACAATACTCTCAATTTAATAAATAATGATCCAAAATGTTTTGACAAAAATTGAAGGTATTTTTGTTATTCATCCTTATTTAATGAAGATTTTTACGAAATAACCAAAATAGTTGATAATGGATAAACTCACATACCACTTCTATTGATCTTAAAGACCATAAGTGAGGAAAAAAATTGGGGATTCATAGCGGAAATCAAGCATCGTTGTGGCCCTCCTCGCCCAAGTTTGAGACTCCCCCACCCCTTTTTTCCCTCTCCTTCAGAATCTCACGTAACTATTGACAAACAAATTATCATCAGGAAAAAAAAAATTGGGAATTCATCTAAGAGCGTCTCCAATGTAAAGACTCAAATTCTAGACCATTGTTCAACCTTTATTTTCAGGGAACTTTAACGAAAAGCTCTTGGTACTGTTCACTTTATCGAAAAACCACATTTTTACACTAAAAAGTTATGTTGATCACTTTACCCTTTATTTTGTCCTTAACGTTAAAACTCAAAGTTTTAAAGTAATTTTTATTAATTTTCTTTTATTTTTAGGGAGTTTTAACGAAAAACCCACGGTACTCTTCATTTTAACGAAAAATCACATTTTTACACTAAAAAGTCAAATCTGGTACTATTCACTTTACCCTTTATTTTTTTCTTATTATTAAAACTCAAAGTTTTCAAATCATTTTCATTAGTTTTCCTTTATTTTTATTACCAAAGCATTAAATTGATCATTTTTTTTCCACTTAGTTTGGTTGAGGTCAATTTTTAAAATACGAGACCAAATTATGGGGCAAAGTGTAATTTGATATAAACCTTCCACTAATTGACACGTAGGATAACAATCCCCTGCTATAAAAACCCGTGATTGTTTCGGGCCTCCGCCGTTTGGATTGTACGAAAAACCCCTGAGCACTGAAAACCCACACATACGCTTCGCTGAGCTCGACTGTTCCCACCAAAATTAATGGCGGCGGCGATTTCTTCTCACTTCGCGTTCCTATCAGACAAACCCTCTCTCTCCTCTTCACTTTCCTCTTTCTCCGGCCAGAGTCTCCGCGATCGCCTCGATGCTCCGCCGCCGTGGTCAGCAGCATTTCCCTGCCTTCTCCGGCGAGACTCCGACGAATCTCGTGCCAGACCTCCTCCGTTACTTCTTCGCCTTCGTCCGTCGCCAACGTAACAGGTCACTGCTCGCCTCTGATTCTTAATCTGATTGTTTACTAGCTTAGCTAGAAGTTAATTTCTGTTATTTCGCTTAATACGTTTGGATTCAGGGTTTAGGGAGTGTGTTGAATTTGTTTTTGTGTTATTCCAAATTGCAATGGTGAAGTGCTTGAGTAGATTCTAGGGTTTCTGAAATTCTTGGAGGTAATGAAATGGCGATGTTCTTGAATAATGCAGGCATGTGAGCGTGTCGGTGAGTGAATATCATTTCGGGTTGGAAGATTTGGCTGTTGCGGAAATTAGGGTTTTTGATTGAAAATTAGATATAGGGCAACTAGAACTGTGTTGATGAGTAGAGCTTTGCTAATGTTGAATTGTATTAATCAAAGAGGCAAACGTCTCAGTGTATTCGCTGTATATGGTTTTCTCGAAAACTTATTTTTGAAATCTCGGAGCTTTAAAAAGAACCTAACTATAACTGGATAATTCTTTCGTCTTAGACGACGGTGGTGAATTTTGAGAAGAGTTTATGATTTTGGTGAAATGTTGCCACAATATCTTATGGCTCGGTGAAATCATTTATCTTCTGACTTGTCCCTTGTAATGTTTCTTCTTTTTCCAGCAAAATCAGAACTGAAGGATTTCTTGCACATAAGTGATTTTGACAAAGCCACCATTCTGAAGATGTTAGATCGAGCTGCAGAGGTCAAGGCACTTCTCAAATCAGGAGACAGGTCATTTCAACCATTTAAGGGGAAGACAATGGCTATGATCTTTGCAAAGCCTTCCATGAGAACACGTGTTTCATTTGAGACTGGGTTTTTCTTGCTAGGTGGTCATGCCATATACTTGGGTCCTAATGACATCCAAATGGGTAAGCGGGAGGAAACTCGGGATGTCGCACGTGTTCTGTCTCGCTATAATGACATTATTATGGCGCGTGTCTTTGCTCATCAGGTATGCTGGTGAGTTCTTAGTTTGTAATTTACTAAAGGTGATAAGCTTGCGTAATTAAATTCAGTTTTGGGCTGGTTAGAGTATTGTTATGGCAGGAGTTATGTCCATATGTTAAGAGTTTATCATGGAAACTTGTGCATTTTCCCCCCTTGAGCAATGTACTTAGAAAAGCCTATTTTTTTCCGCCTGTTTTATTGCAGGATATCCTTGATTTGGCTAAATATGCAACCGTACCTGTTGTCAATGGCTTGACAGACTACAACCATCCCTGTCAAATTATGGCTGATGTCCTCACTATCATCGAACACATTGGTCGGATAGAAGGAACTAAGGTTGGTCCATTGTTTTGCTTGCTAAATACAGTTTTTATTCTGCTAGATTCAGAACGTAGTTTTTGACTAAATTCTCCGCAAATTTCAGGTTGTCTATGTTGGAGATGGAAACAACATTGTCCACTCTTGGTTGCTGATGGCTGCTGTTATTCCTTTCCACTTCGTTTGTGCCTGTCCAAAAGGTTTTGAACCAGATAAGAAAACAGTTGAGAAGGCACAGCAAGCAGGTATCAGCAAGATTGAGATTACAAATGATCCAAAGGAAGCAGTCAAGGGAGCAGATGTTGTGTACTCAGATGTGTGGGCTAGCATGGGGCAAAAGGAGGAGGCTGATTCTCGCCGTAAAATTTTCCGAGGATTTCAGGTATATGCTATATTTATCTAAAACTTTTCAATGACATTGTATTAAAAGCATGCGATTTCAACACGGTAAACCCTTGTATGAATTTGGCATTATTTCAAGTACATGCATGAATCTGCATAAGGGAGTCAATACATTTGAAGTGGCAAAACAAGATTGAATAACAGAGATTCTAATGTGGTTAGAATGAAGTTGGATAATTCTAATGTGTTTAGATGAAACTTTTAGTTGATGTATACAAAAACTTCGTTACGAGTTCTGTGCTAATGAGCTCGCTATGTAAAGAGCATGCAGTGCTTTGGCCTGAGTTTGGCACCTGTCATGAGATCTCGATTCTTCATTGTTTTTTAGGTGACGTCATTTTACTCCTTATTTGGCGGAAAATATGGAATAGGTGGTGTTTATTATCTTTGTCCAATCGGGTGGCCGATGTTGATTATCTATTTGACTTGTAGTTTGCGCTGTTACTACAGGTTGATGAAAATCTCATGAAGATAGCCGGCCCGAAAGCCTATTTCATGCATTGTTTGCCAGCGGAAAGAGGGGTGGAAGTGACTGACGGGGTGGTTGAGGCTCCAAATTCTATCGTCTTTCCACAAGCTGAGAATCGGATGCATGCACAGAATGCTGTCATGCTTCATCTGCTCGGAGTTTAGTCACTTACGTTTCAAGTTTAGAGACACTTTTTAGCCTAAAATAGGTGAAGAATTTTGTGCTTTCAGATTTGTACTCGTAATGTTGTTTGCCTGTTGTCATCTATGGAGCCGTTTCAAATGCAAACTTAATGCATGAAGTTTTCGAGTCAAAACTAGTTAAAGTATTTGGAGAAACTGCCTCTTAGTACTACGGTATGTGGTACTCTTCTTTACCTGTAAGTGAGAGGTCTTAGGTTCAATCCTCGTTAAAGGTGAATTTGAATCATATTATTGTTAATCCAGTGTGAGGCTAATGCCTCCCCTCTCTCCCTATAGATCATATTGTTTGTTACAAAAAAAAAAAAGAAAAAAAAAAGAAAAAAAAAGGGTAATGGGGGAAACCAGGGATGCGATTTTCTAATTAGGGTGGTTAGTATATACCTTAGCAACACCCAAGAATTATTTGCCCAACCATTTGGTTCGGCCAAATTTTAGGTGTAAGCGTCATGATATTCTTGTAACTCTCTCATCCAGCATTTAAAATTTTTCGATATGGTTGATATTTTTATGAAACATCCACAAAATTAGAGAAAGATATGAAAATTAAGAGTGGAGTCTAAATTTCATCTCATATGGAAGAAACTCTCAAGTTTAAGCTAAAATTGACAGGTATAGTCGATATTTCAGACACATCTATTAAATATCGAAGAAACTCTAATATTTCGTCTAAACTAATGTTTGGCAATTCCTAAGATTCATTCTAAATTTCCATTATTTCGATCGAAAACAACTGATATTGATATTTGATACATCATCAGATATTTTTACAAATTTGCATATAGATATTTCTACCAATACGGTGATTTTAGACACTGCTCTCATCACAACTCCTTAGGTCGGATCACAAAAAGCCAATTACACAACGAAAAACGATAAAAGGACGAACCAAAACGAGGACGGATTTTTCCTTTTCTATTTTTCTTATTTCTGGGTAGAAGAGGATGACAAGATTACACTGCCAGTTTCTAACAAAGAATGCGTACAATCTACCTAATACTGGTATATAATATATTCCATGAGGAAACTAACACAGTGTGATGAAATATGCTTTATCTGTTCCCTCTGGACGTACGAAAGAAAATCGTCTATCGCTCTTCCACATTGAATCTATTCCAAGCCTCCTGGATAGTTGAACACAAACCAGAAACAACACACGTGAGCTAAATATTCTCCAACCCGAAGACAAGCATCTCTCGGCTTCAACATTTTTACCAACGTAAACATGTTTCTTAAACTTGATATATATCGAGGACAGAAGATCAGCAACGCACCTTTAGAAGATCAAACACCTTCTCGCAAGTGTACTTCTGCTGTATGCTTGCACCCCGTTGCTGTAACTTGTCAGGATGAACAAAGAGAGCAGCTTTACGGTAAGCCTTCTTTACAGCCGCAGTTGTAACTATTTCTGTTAGAGGAATTGGCTGCCAACCACTATCTGGCCCGAGGATCTGCGAGTTGCAAACATCAAGTTAAAACCAGCTAATGATAGATCTTTAAGTAAATCCTGATTGAAAATTTAATCTGCTTTGCGTACAATCATTGAACACTGAAGATGAAACAGACACAAAGCAGGAGGTATCATACTAAATCACAAAAGAAACATGAATCAGGCTAGCACATACATATTGTAGCGTTGAAAGCAATGCCCGCAAATTTCTCTCTTTCCCACTTGACCACCTTTTGACCTCGGCATCAAGACCTTCTGCTAATCTCTGCACAAAATTATATTCACAAGAGTGAGAAAACGTTTGGTGTGTTTGCAAAAGTTTATTCACAAGAGTGAGAAATTACGTTTCGCTCGGCTTGCTCCTTCTGTACAAGAAGATCCCGCATATTCTTCTCCGCAAGAGCTTTAGACTGAAAGAGATTGGAAGGGGAAAAAAAACATGAAGCAAGCTTGTTATAGGTCACCACTGTGTATCCAGAACCAAGCAAAGATCAAGAAGATCTAAAAACCAAGCAAGATCAGGAAACATACTGCACGTTCTGCTGTCTGTTGATTCCTCTCCAACTTAGCTTTGCACCTTTGAGCTGATTCACCATTACTTCCACCGCTCCTCTCAGCAGGGTAAGGATCTTCATTAAGGGTAAAAAAAATTTCAGAAGTAGCAGAGCATAAGATAGTAAAATATCCTATAATTAAATGCTATGACGACACCATAAAAATACGAAATCAAGGCATACAATGGAATGCTATAATGGTACTGTTAGATATCACATACCACTGTGATTTGAAGAATTTGGGTATCTTGATTTAGACTCTGGGTCCTGTAAGAATTGTTGTTATGTCCATTAATTTATGTTGCCAGAGGATAAGCATCTTGATACTTGGTAAGAGTAAAAGCATTAAAACAAATACTCACAGCGGGCGAAACACCCGGCTTCATTCCATCATCTCTAGAAGCACTAGAAGATTTCTCAGAAACAGACCTCTTAGCCTGCTTTCCTGCCTCGTAAGCCTTCCCGGATAATGATTTTTCTAAGGCACGCTCCCAAGCCTCTTCAGTTGCTCTTTCCACAGCAGCACGTTCCGATTTTAGTTTAGCTTCCCTTGAAGCCTTCTCAGCTAAGGAAATATCATTAGCCTTTACAGAAGTCTTTCCCGACCTTTCTTGGGCCTCAGCCATTGCCTTTTGACGAGTTTCAGCAGCTCTTTCTCGAGCTTCAGCAAATGCCCTTTCACGAGCTTCACGAATTACTCTTTCAACAGCTTTTTTCTCCTTTACTCTTTCCCTTTCCTTCCCTTTTGCATGCTGTTTTTGTTTCAGGAGTTCCTTTTCTATCTCCACTTCCTTTTGCAATCTCTCACTAATTTCACTCTCTTCTGCAGTCGAGGTTTCTTGTTGATTTTCCATTTTTTCTTGTTCCACTACTGTATTTGAAGTACAATGTTTTTCACTCTCCTCTGCAGTCAAGGTTGTTTGACGATTCTCACCTTTTTCTTGTTCCAATTCTTGCAGCGAACTATGAGTGGTTACACTCTCTTTTGACGTGGTTGCTCGATCATTCTCCATACTTTCCTCTGTACATGGACTTGTCTCCATCTCATGATCCAGTAGCACATTTCCCCCCTTTCTTCTTAACATATGAGAAAGTTGAGCTACTTCTGCACTGGTCCCATCATCAAACCACCTTTTCCTATGAGAAGATTTGGAATTATTCTTATTCTCTTCCTGATTCACGGCAACTTCAACTTTCACATCCTCATTGATTTCTTCCACTTCTTCAACATGCGTTTCTAAAGTGACATCTTGGTTTTGCCCACAGTTCAAGGCATTTATATCCACATTTAACCCATTTTCTTCAGAAGGATGGCTCTCGATAGGATCTTCGATTTGCTTCAATATCTCAGCAAGTTTGACACCCGAAGCCAAGCCATCGGCTTCACATATTTCTTTCTCCTCCTTGCCATTCTCCTCTTCAACTGACTCTGATTGGTTCCAATTCTCCTTGAGCTTATTAAGAGTTTCAGAAAAGTTGAGTCTATCAAACCATCTTTTCCTATGCGAAGACCTGGAATTATTCCTGTTTTCTTCCTGCTTGACAGCAACTTCACCTTCCATCATGTCCTTATTCATAGCTCCCAATTCTTCAACCTGTTTTCCAAAATTGCAGACTACTTCGGGCTCTCTGGCAAGCTGGTCTTCTTGCTTTTGCCCACATCTCATATCATTTCTCCTTAGAGTTGTTCCATTTGTGTCAGAATAATGCATCTCTGTTGCATCTATTATTGGTATCTCAACAAGTTTGATATCTGGAGCTAAGCCATCTGTTTTGAGCATATCTTTCTCCACTGTGACATTATCCTCTTCAACTGATTCTGACTGGTTCACACTCTCTTTGAGTTCATCCAAAGTTTCAGTAACTTCAATTCTATCCCCATCCTCTTCATGTGCAGGTACCTCCAAAGTTTCTTCTACATCCTTGTCATATTCTGCATGTCCAGTGGGCCCCTCTTTTTCATTTGGGTCCTCAATTTCACCCTCTTCACATAGGTTATTAGTTGCCTTAACATTGCAGTCTGGTTTCTTTAGATCCTCACAATCCCGTGTCACCTTCTCATCTTCTGTACTCTGATCAATCTGTATTTCCATTATCCCATCTTCTACACACTGAAAACTCTCTTTTTGTCTCTTCTCACATGCTATCTCCTCATATTTATCCCCCTCCAGAGTTTCTTCTACATCCTTGTTATACTCTGCATGTCCAGTGGGCCCCTCCTTTTCATATAGGTCCTCATTTTCACCCTCCTCACATAGGTTATTAGTTGCCTCAAAGTTGCAGTCTGGTTTCTTTTGATCCTCACAATCCACTGTCACCCTCTCATCTTCTGTACTCTGATCAATCCGTATTTCCATTCTCCCATCTTCTACACACTGAAAACTCTCTTTTTCCCTCTTGTCACATTCTATTTCCTCATATTTATCCCCCTCCAGAGTTTCTTCTACATCGTTGTCATACTCTGCATGTCCAGTGGGCCCCTCTTTTTCATATAGGTCCTCATTTTCACCCTCCTCATATAGGTTATTAGTTGCCTCAAAGTTGCAGTCTGGTTTCTTTAGATCCTCTTGAGCCACAGTCACTTTTTCATCTTCTGTACCCTGATCAATCAGTATTTCCATTCTCCCATCATCTACACGCTGAAAACTCTCTTTTTGTCTCTTCTCACATTCTATCTCCTCACAAGCTGCCCCTTCAAGTATCATCTCATTCGCTGTTGTGTCGCCAAGCTTCTCATGTCCTTCAGACTTGCTCTCATTTCTATTCTCAAAATATTGCTCACCGTTGGTGTCATTAAGTGAGTCCTCAGTGATGTCTTGCCTGCTATCTTTATTGAGCCTCCTTTCAGTGTCTTCTTCCCTGTGGACATCTTTTTGTTCCTTCTCAAGTTCTTCCTGTTTGTAAGCCTCGTCGCCTATCTTCTGATATTCAACACACTCCTGAGGCATCAATTTCATTTTCACATGTCTGGTTTCCTGTAACTCTTGAGTTTCATGCCTTTTGTTGTCTCCTTTTTGCTTCTCAAGCTCCCCTTGCTTCTCTTCAAGAATTTCCTTTACATGGGAAGCTTGAAGCTTCCAAGTTTCTTCAAGCTCTCTGGAAGCTTCCAGTCTATTCTCATTTTCTTCCTGTTCAAAAGCATCTTTAACTGTTTCCAATTCACTTGCATGATCTTCATGTTTAGACAGGCCTCCATCCGCATTGACTATCTTCTCTGACTCTCTGTATTCTTCGTATTTAGCTGCTTGTAATCTCTCGCCACCTAGTTCTGGATATTCAAAAGCCTCCATGGCTGTCTTCTTCCTTTTCTGTTCATCTTTGTCAACAATTTGTACCATTATTATCCCAGGGTTGGCTTCTTCATCCTCTACCGTTGTAGCCTGGTGTTCACTTGAGTCCGAAAGCTCATAAAATAATTCTGCTGGTTCTGATAGATCAGGTTCGTCTGTGTCAGGAAATTCATAGAACTGGTCTGCTGCTTCTGAGAAATCAGGTTCATCTGTGTCAGAAACTTCATAAAATTGTTCTGGCGCTTCTGGAACATCAGCTTGTTCCTGCGTACGACCCATGTGAGTTGATATAGATTCATTCTCCTCTGTTTTCCCTCCAGCTTCCTTAGCACCAAAAAGTTTATTCGCATCTCCAAATGCTGCCATTACCTGTGCTGGCCCAGTAGAAAAAATTGAAAAACGAACAGGAACACCCACTTCTTCATGCAACTCCTGAGTCTTTCTCTCCTTGGGTATGCTTACTTTGTCTGCATATTTATCCCCCTTCACCTCAAGTTTTGTACTGGTAGAATCATGAATAAGAACAGCCACTTCTTCATGCAACTCTCGAGTCTTCCTCTCTTTGGGTATGCTTACGTTGTCTGCATATGTATCCCCCTTCGTCTCAAGTTTCATGCCAGTAGAATCATGAACAAGAACAGCCACTTCTTCATGTAATTCCCGGGTCTTTCTCTCTTTGGGTATGCTTATGTTGTCTGCATATTTATTCCCCTTCACCTCAAGTTTTGTACTAGTAGAATCAAGAACACGAACAGCCACTTCTTCATGCAACTCCTGAGTCTTTCTCTCTATGCTTACTTTGTCTGCATGTTTATCCCCCTTCACCTCAAGTTTCTTACCAGTAGAAACATGAACCGGAACAGCCCCTTCTTCATGCAACTCCCGAGTCTTCCTCTCTTTTGGTATGCTTACTTTATCTGCAAATTTTTCCCTCTTCACCTCAAACTTCTTGCCAATGTTAAAGCTCTGTTTGACACTATTTTGCGAACCAGTCTTCTTTCTTTCCTTAGACTCTTTTGCCATTTTTATCCTTGCTTGAGCTTCCTCTATTGCCTTTATCAAAGCAGCCGCGGAGGCAGCCGCAGTAGAATTTGTGTCCACTTCCTCATCAAAGTACGGTGATGAAGAAACATGGCCAGAACCTTCTGAATTATCACTTCTAGAAACGCCAAAAACAGAAGCCATTGGTTTCTCAAATTCAACCTTGCCCTCAGACAGTGGGCTTGAAATTGATGGACTGCTTGAAGGATGAGTTTCACATGCCTTGAATAACTCATCGTGCGAACTGGATCTTTTCCAATCATAATTATTCTGAACCTCAGCACCTCCCGCAGAAGTTTGCTTCCTATCATCACCAGCTGGGAGGTCTCCTGCAGACTTCAGATGGTTGCCCTCCGTCATTCTTTCAAATAAATTATTGTCAGGAGAAGCACCATTTTCTTTGGAAGATACCGGTTTATCACCTTCAGTTGTGTGTATTGGACTGACTTCATCAATCAAACACGTATCTGTTGGAACAGCATGAAGCATTGTTTCTCCTGTAAAACTTTTGCTTCTGTGGTTGGTTTTATGGTATGACATGTTGAACTTCTTGGCACCATCAAATGATTGATTAGATGCTTCCTGTGACAAAACACGATTCTCCACGGTACTCGAAGGATCTGCCTCTTTCGAAGGCGACCGCTTTTCAGCCGGTGTCCTATTCAAAAGAAAGGAATACACACACCACAATGTCAATCCCTGTAGCTGTAAAAGTTTGATTCTTTACCTTTTGGTGTGAAATGTCTGTTATTTCCAGTTGATGTAAATATGTAATCATAGATTTCAATACGAATTAAGAAAAGCTCTCGATTCGTGCTCGAATTTTAACATCCAGACAATTTCTCGTAAAACAAAGTATGAAATTTTTAACGGTTGAATTTCAACTGCAATTTACTACCCAGCAACAGATACTACTCAAAATTATAAAAATCTAACTGAAATTTCAATGACCGAGCTATCTAAATTATCAAAAATTACTAATTTCCCATGCCAGATTATAAAATACGAACTTGCATACTCAAAAAACAAGTAAAATTGTGCATTCTGAGGGAGTGAAGTGTAAATGCACCTTCTTTCCTTCTTCTTTCGCTCCGCAAAGAGCTCCTCATACGGCACTGCGAAATCCGAATCTCCAAATCCACATCCACCGAAGACGTTAGAGTAATCCAGCTTCGAGCTCCGAACATCCACCGAAGCCTTCCGCTCATGGAGCTCCGGAACCTCAAGCACCGGAATCGAAGAGCCGCCGCGGGAAGCTACGGAACCGCCGAAAATCTCGCTGTAATCGTCGACTCGGGAGGAGAAAGTCGAGACATTGAACTTGGATGCAGCTGCGGAGGAGAAAACGCCGTCGTATATGGAGTGACCGCTGGAGAGCTTCTGAGAAAGCGCCACGGATGAAGCTTGGTACTCCATTGATGGACTGGAAGTACGCGCTGCGTTACGTTTTGCTTCTTCTTCCTCGACCTACTCTCAGTGTTTGGAGCACACTGTAATGCGGTCTAACTGTCAGAGTACGGAACGTGAATAAATGGCCGATTTTTGGAGCAAAAGATCGGGGAGGGTGACCGGCGGTAGCCGGTGAGTGCGGACAGTGAGCGTGACTCTGCCTTTTTATCGATTGGCTGTCTGTGCTGTCGTGTCGCGTGGTAAGCTCTTCCAAATCCGACGCGTCAGTGCAAACTCTGCCCCAGTCGACACAACACACGGAAGGGGTAAATTGGGAAAGAGATCAAGTCGGGATCTTCTTTATAAAGTTATCGGATTAAGTGATTTAAGTCTTTTAAATTTTATCCAACAACCAAAAATTACACAATTTTTAAAAGGTCAAAACAAATAGACCGTTGAATAAAATTTTAAAAATCCAAATCATTTAATCTGATAGAATCTTGACGAAAAATATCCGGGGAAAATCTATTTTCAATTGGGAATATGATAAAATTCAGGGTGATTTTGGAGGGGTGATAGACAACTGCGTGACACGAGCTCTGATGAACGGCAAGTGGCAACATGTGCACATAAAATTGAGCAATTAAACGCGAAGAAACGTTCTCAGCGAAAAGAACAGAAACATAAATTGTGACATTTGCTTGTATGTAGTAAAAATAAATATAAACTATTATTCGTTTTTCTAACAAAAGCGAGACACGGGAGGGAGAATTATACTTGAGATTATATAGGAGAAAAATTAAACTGGAATCTTAGATATTGCATGCTTTCAAAGGACGTAGTTAATCTTCAACACGTTGACACTTATTTAGTTCCTAAATTTATGGGAAAACAATGATAAAGGCGAATTTAGGAAATAACAAATTCTAATTTGATAAATAAAACAAGAACCCTCCGAAATTCTAATTAGCTTTCACACCACTCATTAATAATGTATTTACCCCTACATTTAATTACTTGAAAAATAAAAATAAAAACTATAAATTAAACCACACACTCATTTAACATCTAGCACACAGCCTTCTTAATTTTCAGTTACCTAATCGAATAAACTAAAGAAAATAAATGCACAAAAATTAACAAGAATATATAAAAAGTAAAACAAAGTATGTGAGTAGTACTACCATTTTTTATTCAAATTCATAATTATTCTATCATTCACATTTGATTATCTACAATTCGATACAGCGCCCGATGATATAAGTGGAAAAAGAAAAGAAAAAACTCTCAATAATTCAAATATTTAAATGAAATAAATAATATTGTTTTAGGTCCACAAGTTCTCCACAATTAAGCATAAAGAGCACTTATTCTGAAAGTGATTATACTACAAGAGGAATGGGAAAATGGGTCCATAAGCCGAATGACAACACGAGTTCTTTTGGATGGTATTCATTTGAATGTGACTAGAACCCAACGGTTGCTTGCATATGTTATTGTTGTAGTTGAAGAAGTACACGCAATTTTTTTGAATGTGACTGCAACCTTACGGTTCTATTTTTTTTTTTTCCAAAGCCTTGCATGAAATACATATTAACGAACCACGAGCTGGTGGTCCAGTGGTAAAGAATGAATTGCGAGACTTTTTTCAAACTAAAAATTAGAGGTCATGGGTTCGAAACCCGTTGCTGGTGTGGAAGCCAAACTTGTGCCCAGAGGGAGGCTGAAATGCCTCTGCGAGTCTTCCTGGCCCTCGGAATGAGGAATAATCGTGGCTTGCCACCAGTTGTCCCTCGACGCCTTTTTAATTTTTCATTTTAAAAACTAATTTTTATTTACTGTAAGTCTGATCTATCTACGTACTTTTGATATCCAAAACAAACACTATAACAGACAAGTGCGCAAATTGAAAAAGAACATAGTGTGTAAAATAGGCAAAATGAATAAAATGCAGGAGAAATTGAAGAGGAAATTGTAGCAGTTGTCCATCAACTTTAATCCAATTGGCGTAATGATTCCTCAATTAAAAATTTGTGACCATTGGTCCCTTAACTGATAAAAAAGCACAACTATGATATTTTTCGTCAACTCCGTCAAAACTTCATCTAAATGAGTCACATGCCACATAATTGGAGTAGTGGTCCCTAAATTTTAACCAAATTGGAGCAATGATCCCTTAACTTTAACTTAATTATAGCAATGATCCCTCAATTTAAATCCAATTGGAGCAACAATCCCTCAATTTAAACCCAATTGGAGCAACAACTCCTTAACTTTAACCCATTAGAGCTATGATCCCTCGGCTTTAACTCAATTGTAGCAATGATCCTTCCACCATGACTCATTTTAACGGAAGTTCTAATAAAGTTGACGAAAATAACTATAGCTACACGTTTTGATCGGTTACTGAACCAATGATCATTGCTCCAATTAAGTTAAAATTCAAAAACATTACCACAAGCTTCTCGAAATAGAAAGAGGATTACCCGAGGAGCAAAGGCACATCATTCATCTATCTATGCCCATTGCTCACACATGCAGTTCCATGAACAAAAGTTACAAGTAACATTTCTGCGAGGACGACAAGTAACATTTCTGCCGATGCAAATCAGCCTTGAACTGAGTGACTGAGGGGACATGCCTTTTGGGGGGAATCTATGGAATATCTTAGAGAGGCTCAATGATGAACATGATATAAGCATAAAGATCATATATAATGTGCTGATCACGAGGCTTATTAGTTTATAGAGAGAGATTCTCCTCCTTTTCCTCTTTCGCTTTTCTTTATAGCCTAGTGCCTGCCTACAAACACCGTTGTTGAACAGGCTTTAATTTGTCGATGGAATTTCACAAATACCCTAACTGGGATAATAACTTGGCTATCATCGACTCTATATTTCGACCTTCGTTTATCATGCATCATGTGAAAATATTGGGATATACACTCAATTAAATGTAAGTTATTCTCTTGCGATGGAGGAATTTGTATGCAACTTAATATGACAGAGTTAGAACGTGTGGTGAGGAAAGATACCTTGGCAGAATAAAATGAAAATACATATTCAAGAAACCTAACCACCCCACCTGGCTCACCTCGTGTCCTGTCATGTGTTTGCCCAAGACTGTATAAGGATGACTCCCATGCATTCGAGTTCTACACTTGTCCATTTATTGGTGGATCCGGATAAGGGTGGTCTCTTGTGTATCTGTCTTGAACGGACGTGAGGGTGGCACACTTAGCCTTACTAAAAAATATCCCTTATTGCATGAAAGTTTTTCTCATGTTTTCGAAAAAAATGAAATAAAATGTTAACACAATGTTTTAAGAGTCATTAGGCGGTAGTTGAGTGGCAGGAAGAAGCCTAGTGCCTAGAGGCCTAGACCCATCCCGCTATAATTAGATTTTCGTTTAGAGATTAGGATTGGTTTTATATAAATGGGATGCTTGTTAATCAGTGGAGAACTATTCAATCAAGAAGTAGTCTATTCGGTTTGTGTAGTATTCTTGACAATTTTGTAGTTTTTTTGTTGTATAAAGTTTTATATTCTGTTAGTTTATTGCGTACTCTGATTTTCAACTAAAAGAAGATAATAAAACGTTAAATATTTTTTTTAAAAAGGTATAAAAACAAAAGGACGACAAAGAGGTAGATGGTGGGGGGTTCATCTAGAGAGGAAAAAGGGATACAAAACAATAAGTCTGGGAGAGAAACGACGCCATCTAAGTTTAAATAATATCAAGGCAAATCAGCTTCTTCTTCGTTAGTATGTCGTTGGCTCTGCCACAAATTTTTTTTTCAATTAAGTTCTCCACATAAGCCCGCCCATTTCTGCCTACTCCAGTCTAGTCTCGGCTATTCCCACTAGCCCCGTGTAGTCCTTTTTTGATTCTCGCCTATGACAAAATCGCGGTTGCTAGCCACCGCCTAGAGCCTATGTGCTATTTTCCAAACATTGGTTACTATATAATGGACTGGTAGCCCATGTGCAATTTCATGGACTAGACTGTTTCTTAGATTTATAGTCAACCCAACAATCCATAGACCAAAAATTGGGCTATAGACCCAATAAGCTATCTGGACTCAGACCTAAACATTTTAATTATCGATATAAAAAAAAAATCTAATGAAAATAATTTAAAAATTTTGAATTTTAATTAAAATAATAAAAATATGTTGTAAATGAATAGTATTAAAATGACTTTTTAAAAAATATTTTGTTAAAACTCTTTAAAAAAAATCTTTTTTATTTTTTATTTTTAACCAAGGACGAGCAAGGAGAAAAGGAAAGCGCAAAAAAAACCCTCTCCCGGTTCGTCTCAGAGAGAGAGAGTCACAGTCTCACTTGCTTGAACAAAAAGAAAACCCCAACAAAAATCCTCACAGCTTCACCGAGAGAGAGAGGCACTGTGATTTCTTCTTAGAGAGAGAAGGAAAAAACGACGCTGTAAAGATGTTCAGGAACCAATACGACACCGACGTGACGACATGGAGCCCCGCCGGGCGGCTCTTCCAGGTGGAGTACGCGATGGAGGCCGTCAAGCAAGGCTCCGCCGCCATTGGGCTCCGATCCAAAACCCACGTTGTCCTCGCCTGCGTTAACAAGGCCAACTCCGAGCTCTCTTCCCACCAGAAGAAGATCTTCAAGGTGGACGACCACATCGGCGTCGCCATTGCTGGGCTCACAGCCGACGGCCGTGTCCTCTCCCGGTACATGCGATCGGAGGCCATTAACTACAATTACACCTATGAGTCCCCGCTCCCCGTCGGGCGACTCGTCGTTCAGCTCGCCGATAAGGCTCAGGTGCGTCGCGTAACAGTACCCCTATTTTTGAATCTGTGTGCTGCTCATTGATGCCAATTTTTATTTTTTTGTGAGTGGGTTTTGTGACTTGTGCTTATTGGATCGGGGAATTGGGGATTTAGGGTTTTGCTGGAGGTGGTAGTTGGAAATTCTTAATTTTCTGGAGGTTTCTGAGAAAATTGAGGGTTAAAGATGTAAAATTGGTGTTCGATTTCGGTGTTTTACTTGTTCTAGTAGAGTTGTATACTTCCTGCAACTCAATTAAGTGGTAGGATTGTTGTTATCTTACTGGAAACCAAAATTAGATCCCCTGAGAAAGAAATTGGGTTGTTAAGACTCAACAACTAGGGTTTTAACCAGAGTTAGCTGCTTAGGGTTCATTTGTGTCGAAGGTCTCAATGCGTATCAAACAACTCAAGGATCATATTTTATTATTTCGTTTGCTTTTTAAGTTTATCTGAGTAGCATATGGTTAATTTTTCGAGGGTGAGAAGATAAGCTATTTGGGTTTGGATTGGGTTGGACTTTTGTCTAACCGGTAGTGTAGGAATTCTTTTGACCATGAAGATCTTTGACCTTTTATTACAAAGTGTGTTGTTTGGTTTGGGAACTTAATGCAAAATGTGACTTGTGAAGAATGAAACTATTCCTTGAATGTATGTCATGATGAATCATGGTATTTCAGAATCATCTTGAAACAATTGACATGCACTTTTTTTGTTTTTGTCTCTAAATAACCAAGCTGGCTAAACTAATGAGTGAGAACAGAAAAAGAAATTCAGGATTTGCAATTGAGACCTCAGATATATGTGGTACACATGTTACATTATGCGCTTCAATAAAATGTTGGCATAATGTAGAAAGGACTTGTGTAGGAAAGGAAAGTATGAAAGTGATTGGATTGAACAGGGCCTCATATTTTCTTATTTGTTTCTGGAACCCATTCCTTGTGTAATTAGTAGTTGGCTTGTTGTTTTACGCAAATATCTACTGTTTGTAGGTAGTTGCATACACATTCAGAGTTTTATTCTTCTGTGTATCGTGAACGAATTTATGTATAATACAACTTATAACAAATGTATTTTATTTGCATTGCAGACTGAATTCTGAGATAAGAACTTTCTCCTCCTCCCCCCTCTCTTTGTGCATACACTCACATGTGCATATTCATTTATCTTTCAATCTCGTAGTTAATTTTTTTTCAACTTGATATACAGAGGTTTCTCTTTCCCTAAAAGATGAGAATATCTGCATATTCTTATTCATTCATTTCACAATTTTGTGGAAATACAAATACTAGTGTATCGATTCAGTAGAATGGTGATGTTTCTGATTGTGATTAAGGAGTTCATTCTTACCAATCATATCATGTGTAGTTTCATCACAATATGATTTCAGTGACCGTAGAAGTGAGTTGGAGTGTTGGACTCTAGATTAAGGATGGGCTTTTGGTATTATTAGATGCTGAATCTGTCTGTCTCCTGAATTCTACCGTTTAGTAGAAGCTAAACTTTGCAAAACTGCCACAAAAAAGCAAACAAACTTATGATGCCTCTTCAGTATTTATATTTGGTCTCTCTTATCAGTTATCCTCCTCCGTGTATACAACTACCAGTGTCTATTTGAACATCCATTTGGAGAGTCCTTTTTGTTATTTTAATTGTATACCCTGTGGATGACAGGTCTGTACCCAACGCTCATGGAAGCGACCGTATGGAGTTGGACTATTAGTAGGTGGGTTGGATGAGTCTGGAGCTCATTTGTATTACAACTGCCCAAGTGGAAACTACTTCGAATACCAGGCTTTTGCAATAGGGTCTCGCTCACAAGCTGCAAAGACATACTTGGAACGCAGGTTTGAGAATTTCACAGGCTCTACAAGGGAGGATCTGATCAAGGATGCCCTCATTGCAACAAGGGAAACCTTGCAGGGAGAAAAACTGAGAAGTTCCATATGCACAATTGCTGTGGTTGGAGTTGGGGAGCCATTCCATATATTGGATCAGGACACCGTCCAGAAGTTGATCGATGCATTTGAGATCGTGCAGGATGAGGCTCCTGCTGCTGAACCCGATGCTGGTGCTGAGCCTGCTGCAGCTGCAGAAGAGGGTGAGGGCTCTGGCGCTGGCGCAGACCAGGGAGCAGTTCCCGAACCGGATGTAGCTCCCATGGATATCTGAGGATGATAGATACAAGCAGTTGTCTTTCCATTCCTTCAATGAGGTTTTCTTGCAGTACGTGGTTCTTAAGAGTATGGATGGTATTGGAGAAGATTACAATCTTCTGGTGAACATTTGCCGTTTCTTTTTCTTCTCTTATAAACATTTTGAAAGTGGCTTCTGGTTAGATCGACTTTACATTCAATGTTTACCGTTACGATACAGTTATTGAACCTAATTGCTGTCGGAAAACTCCATTTTTATTGAATCGTTTACTTTCTGTGTTGTGCGTTTGATATTTTAACGTTAGAAAATGGATAAAATCTTGCAAGCTCTGCAACTTAAGTGGAAAACGATGGACTTTATATATTTTGTGCATCCACAAGCTTTTCGAGCGAAGTTCTGTTTTTTTTAGAGGAAATTGTAGCAATGGTCCCTTAATTTTAATCAAATTGGAGCAATAATCCATCAACTAAAAATTTATTATTATTGATCTCTTGACTCATCAAAATGTGTCGCTATGGTCATTTTCATCAACTTTGTTAGAATTTTGTCAAAATAAGTTATGTTGGAAGGACCATTGCTACAATTGGGATCCCTCAACTCATCAAAACGTATAGCTAAGGCCTTTTTCGTCAAATTCGTCAGAATTTTGTCAAAATGAGTTATATTGAAAGGATTATTGCTACCATTGGATTACAGTTAAGAGACTATTACTCCAATTGAGTTAGACTTGATGGACCATTTCTCTAGTTAGATTAAAGTTGAGGGAACAATGGTAATGAATTTTTAGTTTAGGAACCATTGTTATAATTTACTCTGTTTTTTATTACCACTTGCTTCACATCGTAGAGGGAGTTTCGTCGTTATGTGGTTGTTTAAACTGTTTAACGGTTAGAATTACCATCTCTACTTAAACAGTTGGTTCAATTTTAATGGAAAATGAGACTCATCGGAAACAACATTGACGTGCAGCGTAATAGAATGAGGACAACATTGATCGAATTGAAAGAATGGGAACGACACTACAACTTCCATAATAACAAGTAAAAACTTGCAAAAACATGTAGTAAATCAACACATAATTATTCAGGATTGCAGGTTTAAACCAAAAGCAAAAACAAGAGTTACAAGAAAAGCCTAAAAAACTGTTCAGGTTCCTCTTCCTGATGTTCTTCCATCGTAATCGTATGCAGTCGTTAAGTCAGCTTCAAGTGCAACCATAGATACCCTTACCCTTCGCTTTCGAAAAGATATATAGTAGGCTAGTAGCCATGGACTTCGAAACAATCGCTGTTCTGATAACATAGTAGAACAAAAAATCATTTGGTGATATGAGGAAGAGCGAGGCCTTTAGTCTGCATCTGCTTATACATCCATTGCCAGTTCTCGGGGGTGACTTCACCCCCGAGAGATCGAATAACAGATCCGCCACTGCAAGATCCTACTTTGCAGCACTCCTCCAGAGATAATCCCTTCACCAGTCCATACAAAAACCCACTTGCAAACAAGTCTCCTGCTCCTGTGGCATCTACTGCATTGGATTTCCCTATGGCTGGAACTCGCACAATCTGACATATCAAAAGAAAAAATTCAGAAGATACATCGATGATCAAGATCAAGTAACACAGGGTTGAATCTTACTAAGGTTCCGACCTCTTTTCCATGCTTTGCTATACATCCGTTGGAGCCTAACGTCACCACAGCCCAGCGGCAGTGTTTTGCCAGAAACTCAAGTGCAACCTCGGGATCAGCCTTCTGTTCACCCTCGGAACCTCTACAAGAGAATTTAACACCACATTACCAGTCTGGTAGAAAAAGAAAGAAAAATCTACCGAAATGGTAGAAAAGAAGAGTCAACATTATTTCATCAAAATTGGGGTTAGCAGTTTTAACATGTTACAATTCCAACCAAATGAAAGTCACCTTAGCAACTCTGTTGCTTCATCCTCATTGGCGAAGCAGAGGTCTATGTCCCCTGACTCCAGCAGCTGTAGAAGAGGCGATCTAAAGTTGCGAACCATCTGAGTAATGTTAAAGACTATATAAGATAATATATAGAGACCTGAAACTCGATATTAAAAGCCGAAATAAGAAAACAAAGATAAGAAACAGAACTATGTATTTTCACTTTGCTTGCAAATCAAAACTCAAGATTCCACACCAAAGCACTTGCAGACTTAGTAGTTTTCTTTAGTTACATGCAGAGAAATGCAGTGGGAGTTGGAAAGGGATTAGGCTTTCAGTTGAAAATTGTATAGGGTTGCTACACTGTAATGAAATTTTTGTCACTCATTCTGGAGACGGCATTATCTTGTGTCGTAACGCCCCATAAATGAGTCATGGGTAGGATATCAACTTGCTTTGACAGCAAATTAAGACAAATCCCATCCTCCAAATGAAAGATTCTGAAGAAAAATACTTGTACCTCAAAACTGGCCAAGTCTAAGGACACAAAAAGACCCTCTTGTTTCGCAATTGATATAGCTGCTTGAATCACTTCCAAATTGATGATACCATACCTCAACAACAACCACTGAAAGAAAAGAGATATCAGCATTTACATCTACAAAACCCTTTCAACTATTTAAATCATACCGTCTGCGTCTATGTTTCACACATGGTACCGCCTAAAGCGCATTATGACACTACACTTTGTTGGAGAAAGTATAGAAGACACTCACCTTAGAGCCCTTAAAGTCCGCTCTCGTCAAGTCATCGGCCTGGATAACATAATTCTATTCTTTGTAAGCTCATTCGAAGAAGTTGGCAAAACACTGACAGCTCAAGCACACAACACACACACATGCACACAGACACGCAGATACGTATGCATTGGGCATCTAAGCAGAGGCATGCACCTGAGACTCAAGTTTCACAGCACTAAAGAGACAAGGACGCATTGTCCGGTTCCCCAACGCATCCACCAAGCAAACACACTGCACCACACCAAATTACCAACAAAGCTTCAGCACTCAGCATCCACAAACTCAATCTGAAAACCCCCAAAAAAAAAAAAAAAAAAAAGAGGAAATGAAGCTAAGTTTACCTGAGCTGTGGGTCCCTTTTTCATCCTTAATCTGGAGAGGTTCACAGCATGAGAGCTCATGTTACTGATAAATAACTGGCCTTGCTCGTCATCTCCACAGGCACCAATTATCCCACAGGAGACTCCGAAACCGGCACTCAGCCCTCTGATTGTATTGGCCACACTGCCGCCGGCTATGGTTTTCATTGGCAAGGAATCATCAGGATATGAAATTACATGGGTTTTCACCTCACTCAATATATGCTCAAGCTCTTCAATTGCAACCTACACCAGAAAATACGTCCCAAAAGCTAAAGTCTTCAACATTCTGAGTGAATTGAGCAACAATAACAAAACCCATCATTCCAAATTGCATAAATCAATCAAAAGCACCAAAATTTACGAACCCAAGTAGCATAAAACAGGAATAAGCAAGGAGAAGCTATGAAGTCAAAAGAGGTTTACAGGAATGGAGCCACCACGCTCGCCGGGGAGTTGATCAAGCAGGGACCAGTCGACGCGGGCAACATGGTCGACGAGGGCGGAAGCCTGTAGTCCCAGTACCAGAGGAACCTCTCGCGCGGTGGAGTTGCCGGTGGCGGTTAAGGCTTCTGCACCCATTTTCCTGGCCCCTCTGGCTATTTGGGAATTGGGACGCTGCTATCTCTCACTGTCTGCACGCTTCGGCTTGTGTTGTGTCGTGTATTTATAGACACTGCAAAGAGAGCAGGAGGCGCAGTTCCAACTTGCAAGTTGGAGATCCAGTTTTAAGGGGACAACTGATGGGAAACTATACCTTTTTCGGGGTTAGGTGCCACAAGTTTAACTTCCACACCAATGGATTTCAAACCTAAGATCTCTGGTTTTAAGGAAGCCTCGTGGTTGTGTGTTGTATGTTTATTATGTTATGATATTTGCAAAAATTTGTCCAATGTTATTGACAAAAATGACTTATAAGTGTCTTTTTGTTTCTAAATATTAAAATTTGAAGTGTAAAATAATTTTTTAAATGATCAATAACAATATGTATTTATACGTCGGTTAAACATTATGAGTGTTTTTTGGTAATTAGAATGTACTTCATTAAATAGCGACAAAAATATAAATAGCTAAAAAAAAGTTACATCAATCCAAAATTAAGTTTTAGGCTTCAAGCTAGGTGAAGACGTGAAATAAATAGTTAGTAGTTAGAGAAGAAAGAAAAAAACTCATCAGACTTGTGAACTAAGCAATTCAAAATGTCTCTTAAACAGAACTCTAGAGTGCATCATCTTCATCAAATAATTATGTTATGATTAACTTTATCACAAACAACGCCGGCACCAACAACGAAAGAAACAACTTTCTTTTATTTTTTATATCCATCCATTGCCTTTGTTTGTTTGTTTGTTTTTTTTTTTTTTTTTTGTTTTTTTGTTAAATTTTCAAACAAAAAATATGAAGAAACAAACAGCACTTTCGATGATTAAAGGGGAAAATTAATTGGAGGAAAATAAATAGTAGGGCATGTAGAGGATAGATTTATAGGGTAGGGTTTGATTCTTTGAATGATTGGTGGGACTACTTTTTCTACGTTTTCCTGCTGAAATCACGGAGATTTCAGCTTTCTAAGATTCCGATTGGCCAATAATTGTTTTGGAAAAGATCCTATCGTGTTCATAAAATACTTAAATTTTTACGATGCTAGGTTTTATATTTCATTTTCTCCTTCTGCACTGTAACGGTTGGATTTCACGTTTCCAAGTTTCTAAAAAGGAAATAGAAACGACCCTTTGCGTAAATCACTTTCTTAATGTGGATAATATCGTTTGTTTAAAAAAAGATTAAAATACATTGGGATAGAAGTACGAAAATCACTTCCTTAAATTTCTCTACATTGTCACCGTTTCATGTTGATACCAAAGTTTATGCAAATATGACGGCTCAAATCTCGCCCGTGCACCATTCATGCAAAAAACAATGTCATGTATTTTGTCGTAAAGCTTTATTTCACCATGCCTGATTTAATGCATAGACCCGTAGGCTGGGATTAGAGCTTCAACTGCCCAGCACATGGAAACATCAACGATCACCATCCCATCGACCACAGAGCGTGATGCATACGATGTTTCCTGTCTTGTAATTGAGTGCAATGACAAAACAAAATAGAGAAGAGAGATGTGTCATGCTATACCTTGGTATGAATAGGCAGATGAACATACAAACCGCCGGAGCAGAAAATGTAGTTTCTGAAAAGCCGAGAAAGAGGAGATCCAATGGCCGGAGAAGATTCATACTTCTGCCTTCAAACAAGCCGGCTATTATTGGGAAAGGAAATGATACCTTTTCCATGTATTTGTACTTAACAAAAAATATTTCTTGGTGCCCCAAATCTCTCCAGATTTGAGTTACAAAGGCGCGGAAAAACAAAAACAACTAACGGAATCATTTTTGGTCCTTTGCTGCTTTATCTGGTAATACATTATCGGGAAGAATAAGTTCTGGGGGAATCTCACGAACGACACCTAGCATTGAGTCATACTCCTCATCCTTGTGGGCAAACTTCTTGCGGAGGGCCTTCTCAAACTCAATCTCATCAAACGACTTCACATTCTCAGCTGCATGGACTTGTGCAAGGTTGGTGTAATTGGTGGCTGACTGGGAGATGAAGGCTATTTCTTCATCTGTGAGCTTTCTCAGAAATTTTGCTGGGTTTCCTGCCCATACCTGTAACACAAATGTATTTTACTGCTTACTCTAAAATGAAACAAAGTTTTCAACCACAGTTGACGGTCGCGGACCACAGAAATGAAAGATTCATTCAGCTGGCCTAGATAAAGCTGAATCCGAAACCATAACATGCAATTCCAAGCACAATCATAATTCATAGAATTCATTAATAAAGTTGACTTCCAGAAAGATTAATAGAAGGATAAAGAGGGTCAGCGCATGGGCTTTTAGACATACCTCTCCACTGGGGATTTTTGTATTCTGTCTCACCAGGGATCCAGCAGCTACCATGGCATGTTTCTCAATGACGACGCCATCAAGAAGTGTGGCTCCCATGCCAACAAAGGCCTCATCCTCAACAGTACAGCCATGTATAACAGCACTGTGACCTGCTCAAAGCAAATTTTTGTTGCGTAATTTGTGGGGAATTAATTAGAACTACTATCAGACCAACTCCAAATTCCAATTAAACACATCTTTGACATCACATTTACTCACCTACAGTAACATTATCTCCAATAATGGTTGGTAACACCTTCCCAGTTAAATTTGACTTCGCCACATGAACAAGGGAGTTGTCCTGTATGTTAGTTCCAGATCCAACAACGATGTTGTTCACATCACCTAGCACAAATACAGTTTTACAAATTATCACCAAAATCCACCATTCCATAAACAAATACAGCTCATATTCACCTATATTGACAATAAACCAGATTTTCAACAGATAACTAATCTTCTAAAAGTACTCAGGCACTACTCTTATCAACCTAAGCTCCATATACAGTGAGAAACAGGACACAATGGAAAAGAAAATATGATAAGTGATAACTATTCCTAGTTTTATCTCGCAACTTGCGTTAAGATCATTTGATATTAAAAGAAATCCATGGTTTTGCAAAGTGCATCAGTAACAATAAAAACGAATATGGATTGATGCTATGAGAAACGCATGCATTTAATATCATAGATTTTTAAATGCCCCTTGCAAAACATTTTTTTATTCAAAAACTCTTAACCAACTTTTTTTTTTATCATTAAGGGCACCTTTTTTTTTTTTTTTTTTTATTAAAGACATTTTTTTTTTAATTCAAAAGGCTGACTCTTTTTTTTTTTTTTTTTTTTTTGTAAGGTCCTTGTAATATAAGAAATGTCCTTAATAATAAGAAAAGTTGTCCAAGTGTTTTTCGATAAAATTTTTTTTGAGGGACTCTTTATTAGTTCTCCCTAAATCTAACAACGGATGAAGAATAAAGAGGTTCTAGATATGGAAAACATCAAGTACAAATCATCAGCTCATTAACCAACAAAAAATACAATAAAATAAAGCATCATAAAATGAGCGTCCGTTCTTCCAAAAGGTCCCATTGTACTGAGAAAATCATTCATACATCCGCATATTATTGTGTCTCAAAAGAAGTTCTTACCTCTCAAAACACATCCATACCATATGGAAGACCCTCTTCCCACTTGAACATCGCCAATGATGGAGGCACTTGGCGCCACAAATACATCCTTGTCAACCACAGGAGCTTTATCGAATACGTTCATTAGAGTTCTATGCCGAGACACTACAGAAAAGAACATAATCACCATCCTCGTGCACAGAAAAAAGAAAGCAAAACCCAAAAATCCTGAATCGCGCATGTACGCAAACTAAGAATGTGCTATGCTGATTGCTGAGTAATGTATTAGCTTTTCAAAATTAGGTGAACCAAACTACCAATGGGTGGACATATATTTATTTGTCCATTCTTGTTTTCTTCATTTCCTCCCCCTCCTCAATCGTAAAATTTTGAGCTTATGGCTGACCGACTACAAGCACGCCGACAGGCCACCAATTTACCACCTTTACGAATACCCAATTGCTTCCAATACTCAGAAATGCTCCAAAAATCTTCATTTCACATAAATGATAAATATTAACGATTTCCAGGAACGCCCATATAACAAATTTATCAAATTAATGTTGGGTTGGTAATAATCTACTAGTAGAACACACCATCTAATTCCACAATTACCTATCAAATCAAATGAAAAGCAAAGCCCTAGACTTCATGCTAATTCTACAGCTGCGATGTCGAAATCAATACGAAATGCGAACCAAACAGCCCCTAAATTACCAAAATCATAAAAAATAAATCAAATTCGAAATCAAGAGATTGAGCTAAAAATATGGGATCTAACAGAAAGGGCTTAGGCTTACGCTGCTCTTTGAAGTAGTAGCCGCCCTGGAGGCTGCTGCCGAGGCGATCAATGGCCTGGCCCGTCTCTCGAATCCAGAATCCGACAGTGTATATTGCTCGTCCTAAAGTCCCCATCTTTTTCTCACTTTCTCCGCCAGCTACCACCAGCTCCTCCGCTCACTGCCACTCTCTCTGACTCACTGTTGTGTGAATTGAAGCAGCCGGAGAAAACCGAAGGTAATGGCCCAAATGACCGGGTAGGGTACATGGATCCCATCCGGATGCAAGTTGTGGAGATCTTACATTTTATTATTTATTGTGCATCTTGCCGTCAGAAATTATTTTGAATTTATTTATTTAAAATTAAACACAAATAGTATATAACAAAAACTGATCGCATAATGCTCGGATAAAATGTTATGATTTAAGAATCCTAAAATCTCCACATAGAGGATCCGGACATCTGGACATCTGAATATTATATCTCATATCCCAAAGCCATGGGAGGGTATAACAGAATTTTCCCTTCCCGGCTACTGAAGTTACCAAAACATCCCCGGTTTCTATTTAATTGGAGCCAAAGTAGTGATTTCCGAAGTGACCGACAAAATTGATTAACCATAATTCAAATGTTTATAATGATTTGTGTTATTTGACTGTAATTAATGATGGGTTAAAATCTCTCTAGTCTTTTTAGGCCCACTAAGAAATAGTCCCTTTGAAATGTGGTGGGATGCTTTTGAACATAAGATAATATCATGTCGAAAGGCTTTAATTAACCGCTAAGCCGAACGGCCATTTAAAGGACGCCGTTAATTTGTCAAACACGAAGCTGTGCGTTTCGATGCCTTTAATCGCGCGCACGCAATTGAAGGCTAGCGTGCGATGTTCTTCCCAATTTCGATTTTCCTGGAAAAAGGAAACAGATAAGAAACGAACAATCGCACCGACATTAACTGGTAAATAAGCTTACAAAATTCACACAGATCCACTTAGAAATTTGGATTACAGTTAGATTCTCTCAGCGGATCCAAAACACACTTCAATTTTCTTCAAGGTAAAGATTTTTTCCTATTTTTCTATTTTTCCTGAACTAAATTATTGGTTTTATTTATTTAATTTTTTTTTTTATAATATTAATAGATTTCCGTTTTTTTTTAAATTTATTTTCCTTAGAAAGATGTTTGATTCCACACTGGGTTTGTGAAACTATTAGGTTTTGATTACCCAGAAATGTGAATTGTTAGGTCAGAATTAGTACTTCTCTAGAGGTGAATCGGGTGATTAATTTTCTCAGGAACCAAACAGAATCTAATCTTTTGATTTGGGCTATTGCTTGTGATGGATATTCAGGAAAATATTGATGGAAGGAGTTGAGGGCGGCGATGCTGGGTCGGCGGTGGCGCCGTTGGCGAAGTGGAGAGACGAATTTTCAAGGACATTTCAATACTACTTGGACCGGTCGACCCCGAACCCGGTTCACAGGTGGCTGGGGACTCTTGCCGTGGCAGTGGTTTACGTGCTCCGAGTTTACTATATTCAAGGGTTCTACATTGTGTCATACGGCCTGGGAATCTATATCTTGAATCTGTTGATTGGGTTTCTGTCACCAAAGGTTGATCCAGAGCTCGAAGCGGACGGGGCTTCCCTGCCAACCCGAGGTTCCGATGAGTTTAAGCCGTTCATTCGCCGCCTCCCCGAGTTCAAATTCTGGTAATTGAACAACTTCCTTAATGGAATTGTGAGAGTTGCATCGTATATGTACTTGCTATGGGTTTTTGGGTGTGATCTAAAGTAGGTGTTGTGGCTGATTTAAATGTTTGAGTAGCACTTATATGAATGCTACATTAGATCATACCAAAAAACCCTGGGCTTAGGAAGGCGGGGTTCTGGCTAATTGTATGTATGCTTTAAAATGTGTACAAAAATATATGGAGGATAATGGGGTTCTTATGAAGCAGCTCTTGATAGCACTGAATGGAAGTTAGGATTGTGTGAATGACTTCAGCAGTCGGGATTGTTCTTTCTCGATTTGAAATAGTCATTGCACAACACGTTGTTTACTGTAACATGTACGTAATTGCAATTAATGCGTGCTTGTATGTGTTCAGTAGGTTTTTATGACTGCTAACTGAGACTCAGTAATATATGCTCTTGCTTGCGTGGTTTTAGGTATTCCATTACAAAGGCTTTCTGTATCGCCTTTCTGATGACCTTCTTCTCTGCGTTTGACGTCCCTGTTTTCTGGCCCATTCTCCTCTGTTATTGGATCGTTCTTTTTGCTCTTACAATGAAGCGCCAGATAATGCACATGATTAAGTATAAATATGTACCGTTCAGCATCGGAAAACAGGTGAGAGGTCTAGATTGTTGGTCAGCCACCATTTACCTTTTGTCCCTAAAGCAGGATCAATTGTTCATGTTGGGAGTTTCCTTAAGCTCAACATTTTTACTTGTTCCCCTTGATTATTACAGAGGTATACAGGGCAGAGACCTGCTGCAGCGAACTCAGACTGAAGCTTTGGTCGAATCAGTGAACGAAAGAAGTGCAGTGTTCGAATGTTTTTAGTTTTTCTGCACACTTTTTCATGTTAATACTCGCAAAGTTCATAGATATGTTTGAATTTTGCTCACTATTAGGATAATTTGCTTACTATTAGTACTTAATGAGCCGTGAAAACTTGCATAAATTGATAATTCTCACTTGTCACTAACCTGTTCGATATCTACCTGTACTTTCGTTCTTCTTCCGCTGTACTTGCTGCTGAATTACTGAATGCCAAGTTTTGAGTATATTATTTTTGTGGTATTAATTAAATCGAGTTATTAAGCAAGCGGGGTTATGATTAGCAGGTGTACTTGGGGATGCCAGGTAGATGTCCAAATCATGCACCTAATTGGTATAACAACCCTCCACCAACTGAACAAGGAAATCACCAAGTGTAGTTGTTAATAATTTGACAAACAATTCATGTCTAATTAAGTTGGTTTTTTATAATCACATAATTTTTTACGCAACGGCCAGCTAATAGTGTTCAAGGTCTCTTCTCCATCCTCTCTCTTGTCTCTCTTTTTGTATTCCGTTTCTTCTCTTAAAACCCTGGAGTCGAAGCATAATATTCTGTCTGGCTAATTAGACCGGCTTTTCTCTCTGTTCCACCCCCAACGGGCAACAAATGAGTGGGAGAACCTATGTTGTGATATTCTTCTTCTGGGCTGCTCTTACTGTCATCACCCCGACACTCGTTTTTCTTTCGGAGACTTCCAAACCCTACTCGGACTCGAATGGTAAGAGAACTGAGATGGTGAACATGTTATTGTACTCTCAGATTTCTTCGTGTTTTGAAATTGTTGTAATCTATTTTGCTTCGTGTTTGGCAGGTGAGCAAGTTGAAGGAACCAAAGGTAGAAGACTGATTGGAATCATAGGATATGAAGCACAGCGTCGACCAAGAGTTCTGCCGACTACAGAAGCCCCTGCAGCATCACCATCACCGTCACCGGCACAAGCTCCAGTTTCGGAACTAAAACCAGGTTTGGAGCGTGGAGAAACCAGTCTTGGAAAGGTCTTTTTAGAGTCATTGAGATTTGTGATCAACAATACTAAGTTCAAGTTAAATTAAGTCGGAGTCAGAGTCGGATTCTTATAGCAATTTAGGTTAGTTGCTCTTCATGCATGAAAGCTACTTTGGGGACAAAGCTCGCACTCTTCGGTATGAGCCTCTCCGATTATCTTTGGAAGAAAAATTTAAGTGGGGCATGTAAAGGAAGAGAACTGCACTGGTTTCCTGTAAAATGTATGTTTATTTTGTTTTCCGGACGTCGAGGGGGAATGAAACGCTAGATTAAGAGCTAGTGGGTCGTTTTCACTGATGTTAGTTGTACCAAAAAGAAAGGAAACGCATAAGCTGAGGAGACATTACGTGTCAGCAAGGACATTGAATAATGGATGTTTTCTTGTCATCATACAAAGTTAAGAGACTTTGTGACACGGGGGTTGTCTCCTAAGCAAGCAAGACAAAGTTCAACTAATTGTGTTGGTTTCATAATTTGCTGCAATTTGAAGGACCAAATGTAAAATTGGCTTGTAATGTAAGTCTCGATAGTGCAATAATAGAAATGTGACCACCACTAGTTCTGATCTTGTGATGGGAGTAGGATTCTCTCCCTTCATATTCTCATTTTCTTCTTCCCTCCTCTCACATATTGCTTTTTGTCTTATTGTCTTTATAAAAAAATCAGTATAAGATGTTGACGTGGCTAAACTGTAACCGTTCAAATAGGAGGGGAGGGAAGGGAGAGAGATTAGGAGGGGAGAGAATCCTCTTCCGTTGTGATGGTGGTTGCTTGCTCTGTGCAAGTGCTTCCTTTTGTGTGTCAAAGTCATGCGTGTTCTATTCGTCTTCTACTTATGTTGTGCATTTGGCCACCAAGCATCATTTTCGTAACGATTATAAAGGTATAAGGGGAGGAGAGATATTCGCTACACTGCTTGATTAGGATAGTTCTCACACCAAATGAGATTAGTGTGGGATCATGTGAGATAAAATATTTAGGATCTTGTATTCTTGTGAGAGATGCTCCATGAACGGTGTTAATGCATGGATTCTATGTTCAATATATTTTGTAACTTAGTGATGTGTGTTTAGCACCAAAGCATTTCATAATAGTTGCAAATTAAAAATGTGAGAAACTTCGCCTAGGTCCGTTTGATTAGGTTATTGAGTGAGATCAATGTGGGGGTCACATGAGGAGATTTTGTAACTCATGAGACACACAATGCACATGTGGGAGTTGTATGTTCTATATTCAAAATACTATGTTACTCATGAGTCCATGACGATTAACCTAGCTTGAAATTGTAAATACAGCCATACAGCCAAGAATATATCATCTTATTTTTATATTTCGTATCACCATGACGTGATATACACTAGGCAATTCTCAAAGCGTTTTGACATCTCTAAAAATCAAAACCAACCACAAATGTGCAGGAGAAACATAGAAATTACATTAAAACTCCGTAAATTTTGTTCTCGTCGCACACACTCTTCCGCTCAAACAACATTAACGACATTTAAAGTTATTTTTTCGGAGATATTTAGCTCACATATTAGCAGAAGTCCTGTGATCTTAATCTCTTCAAACAAATTGATCAAGGTACTCATCCACGGTGGTGTACTTCACATCAGGGTAGAGCTCATAAGCCTCAACTCCGAATGACGGCTCGATTTCGAAGTTGGTATGATCTCCCTTCACAAACACTGAATGGTTGATTGCTAATATCACATTGATTGGAATTGGGGCCTCTGCAAAACCAACAACATTAATTAATTAAACCATGGTTAAGGTAATGCATGATTAATTACTGCAGTAGGCTTATAGCACGGTTGATTAAGAGCAATCGCTCATGCACTCAAGATCTGAGTGTGAATTCCTTCCCTTCCACTATCATTTGTATAAAAAAATGGATGATTAATTACTTACCTGCAATATCCTTGAGAAGTTTGTCCTCTGGGACGTAGACTTTTTCAAGAACTTTGCCAATCTTCTTCTCCCACAGGGCAACAAGCTCATTGAAGGAGTAGATGTTCTGTGGAGGCTTCAGGTAGAGGATCTTGTTCAATGTTCTTGGGTCATCAACGGCGCAGATTGTATAGGTTCCAATGTCATCTTCCTTGTTGAACACAGCTGCAACATTAACAAACAATACAGAGCATATTTAAGATTGCTTCTGAATGGATCAAATCAATTGCATACAAATAAAAGCGATTATGAACCATTCGGTAGAAAAATTAGAGTGCTTCTGAGTCGTAAAACCATTTTTTTGTACTTTGTAGAGAGGCACCTAGCAAGTACTTCTTCATGAACAACCTCCCAAGTGCCTTCTAGTAAAAGTACTTATAACATAATTGCTTATGAATATATCGCTTACGAACAGAAGTTCGTTCGTTGACATTGTTACCTTTCGGATTTCCGTCCCCTAAGATGGTGACTTTGTCTCTGGGTGGAGAAGTGGCACCTGGCTGTGCCAATGAGGGCAGAAAGTAGCCAGCAAAGCAGTTGCTGGAGACGTAAGTGTAGGGGATGCCCTCGGCCTCAATAGCACGCCGGATTTGGACCTTGAGGTCGAACGTAGACTTGGCTGGTTCAACTGCATGCACTCGATCCACATCGTTTCCAAACTCCGACGGGAAGAATCTCTGCATAAAATACAGGACAAGTTATATTTATATTAATCCCCATAGTTTTGCAGATCTTTCACCTAAAAACCCCTAAATTAGAAGGAAACAAAATTTGAGTCGGACTGTCTGATAATTTTAAGTCGTCAAATGATTTTCACATGGATTATCACTAACAAGCATATCGACACTATAACATATTAATATTAGATAGTCAAATATGTCACTTGATCAAACAACCTGACCGATAGATCCTCTGGTTAATTAGAGACACTAACCTTGATATTGCCAGCTTCTTTAATGGCAGCAATGATCTTGGTTTGGTCTGCAGTTTGCATGAAACCCACCGTCGATATCACAACATCCACCTGTTTGATCGCCTTCACCAAACTCTCATGGTCATAAAGATCTCCCTGCATATTAATCACCATAATTAACTACCATAACATAATTAACTTAAACATGAAGCGAGATTATAGAGAGATTAATATGAACATGCGTACGTAGAGCAAAGTGACACCCAAGTTCTTAAACTTCTCAATGAGGTTAGCCTTGGCAGGGTCTTTGACCGTGCTCTCTCTAACTAGAGCAAAGGTTGGATGGCCAGCTTTTGCGCTCGCTTCAACGACAAACTTTCCGATGTAGCCAGTGCCTCCGATGATCAAAATCTTACTCTTTTCTGCCATTGGAATTTCGAAAAAAAGAATCTTAAATTCTTCTTCTTTTTCCTAGTTTTTCTTTTGTGCGAGTACTTTTGAAGTTGCGAAGTGAATAGAAGTAGCAAGAGCACAATTAACAATTTATGGACGAAATTATATAATATTATATCATATGCTTTTAGATGGGAAAGAAAATGGTGACAAATTGAAATGGTGGGATTGACTGTTCACCTTATTTTTCTTTGTTTGTTTGACTTTATGAGATTGTTGTTCAGAGCTTACCTACCGTAGGATAGGAACAGCTACAAGGGTGTTGGATCAAATTTTCTTTATAATTTTTCTTAATTTAGAAGCAAAAAATACTAGGTGAAAAGTTATAACTACCCTCGTAAAGCTGTTCAAGAAAAGGGTTCGTAAAGGGCGAAACCGGATTATTACACTTTCGTTATTCCAGATTCATAGACTTTACTCCTAACGTGATCAAGACATTATTGTTGTTGTGTAACCACTAAGTAAAAAACTAGTAAAAAAATATAAAAAGCTCAAGGAAAATATAAATACAAGTATAGTTGAAAAGAAAATACAACAAATAAGTTCAAAAAGGACAATATAAATTAGACCATGATCTGTTACTTAATACATCGAATAATATTTTTTTTTCATTTATAAGTGAGAGGTCTTAGATTCGAATATAAATATATCATTTATATAAATAAAACCCATGACCTAATTCCATTTGAAGAGAACTATTTTACTCATTAAATATTATAATTAATAGCAAAAATAATTACAAGAATTTAGAAAAGCACAATGATTTTTGAGTGAAGGCTAAGAAAGCGTGGTCACGCCATGTTTGTTTGCATTCAACTACTTACAAAAGGAATCATTTGATGGAAAAAAAAAAAAAAAAAAAAACACGAAGATGCAAGGACAAGCTACCCCAACCCAACCCATCCTCAAGTTCCACGAGTAATCTAAAATATAAAAATAATGTGTTTATATTTTCTTTACGTTTTTTTATTGAAGCTTCTCAAATGAATGTTTGTAAGGCTTACGATTGTGAAAGAATATCCTAAGAACGTGGATTGCTTAAAAGTAATGTTGAAAGGTTAGCCGACCAAATTATGCAACAGCTTGAAAGATTATTAAAAGTCAGTGAATAGATCTGTTATTTTTAAAATCCCTCTTCTAATTTAAAATTGTGATGTAACATCTTAACTATCAGAGTGGAAGACATTAGAAATAAAATGAAACTTCCTTAAATAAGACTTATGTACATAAGTCGGTTTGGTATTGCTGTGCTTTAAAAAAAAATTGCTTCTGCTATGCTGTGAGAATAAGCTCATTTTTTCTGCTTCACTTTTTCAGCTTTTTTTCATCCAAAACTGTGAAAATAAGCTGTTTTTAAGTGTTTACCAAATATCTTTTTGAGCTCAACTTCTTTTTATACCTACTTTTTATAAAATCACTTCAATACCAAACCAGTACTTAAGATCTAGAAACACAACTATGACTACCAAGAAACTCGATCTCCCAAGTCATAAGGTCCTTACAATTTAAAAATTAAATAAAAAAGAAAAAGAAAAGGTGACGGATCAAATTAGTTTGCACAGAAGCCCATGATTGACGGGTCAAGCATATGGACCCACTTTTATGGGCCGGATTCTTGGGCCTTAAGGACAGCTCAGGGACTGATTTGATCATGGTCATTTGATTTAGGGGCCGAGCTATTGGATACATGAAACTGTGATGCATGACTAGTGTTGGAATCGGCTTCTAATATTCAAGGTTAATTCAGAAATGCCCAATTGCGCACCGTCCACCTGCATGTATGCATCCATAATATTATTAATTATTTATTTATGTTTTACAAATAAAAAATGAGAAGAAAATTATTATGCTAATAAACAAGTTACCAGCCATTTCTGTTTATGATATTCTGAGCCCTAGGGCTTGTTTCAGACTTCAGTAGGATTTCTGTAATTTTCTTCTCCATATGAGTTGTGCTAGAAACAGTTACCTATGCGCATCAATATTATCATAAAAAGAGTATTACATATATACATGCATACATACATACATATATATATATATATATATATATATCAGGCTAATGCAATTTGACTTCTTGTGTGCTTTCCAGTAAGCTTCAACCTCCTCCTTGAAGAGTGATTGATTCCTCTTCCTCTTGCGCAAACGTAATCTCCTGAAGAATTAAAGATTATTGCGACCCACAATTAGTTAACTTAATTTGCAATTAAGTGAAATAAATATCAAACACATGGATTAATTCCAGAATAAGCTACAAATTAATACAAGTAACAGGATTAGGATTAGGATTAAATACGTGGCTTGAACTTTATTAGGACAGGTGAGTCCCATACTGCCATGAGTGAACCCACTTCTCTTCAAATTGCTTTAACTAAACACAAATGACTAGATGATCATATATCTCTAAAAATACGATCTTCAGTTCAGTTCCTCACTTTCTGTAAATTTATTTACAAGTTAATCTTATATATATATATATATATATATATATATATATGACTTGGGTGCCTTACATATATTTTCCTTCGTTCTTATCCCCCCAATTGCAAAAGTAATATCTTGCAAGCTAGCTAGACGCTACGTTAATAAGACTGATCATCCACTAAGTTAACGTTTTGTGGATGAATGTTGTACGTAATTCTGGCGGCAGCCCACAGGTTCTAGCTATATAAGCTGGCAATACAATACTCTATAATTTTGGACATGGATTTGCATACTAGATTAAAGTGAGATGGGTAATGGATTTATAGATATATATATATTTTTTTTTTCATAAAACGATATTAAAAAATTAAATGACGTTGGTCCAAGTTATATTTTTGAAGGGAGAGATTATATTTACACATCCCAAATTACTTCTTCCACACCCTTTTCATTTTTTAATATTTTTCTATCAAGTGTTAATGGTGTGTAGAAAATGTTAAAAAATTAAAAGGGAGTGAGAGAAGTAATTTGAGATGTGTGAATATAATCTCTCTTTTGAAAGTGACACAAGTCCAATCACCCATACCACGTACCCAAGAAAGTCAGCGGAATAAGATTCTCTCATCTTTTTTTTTTTTTTCCTTCCCTCTTCCCTGGATCCTCACAAAGAGGATTCTATCTCATTTTTTTATAAAAAGAGAAAGAGAAGAAAAGAGAAGGAGAGGAAAATAGGAGGGGAGAGAATTATAGTCCAAGAAAGCCAATTAGCTGTCAAGTTATCAGCTTCATTAGCTAGCTGCTGATCAGCTGGAAGATGCAAGCCATAACTAGATTAATGGGCTTTATTTGTTAGGAATTTTAACGAAAAGCTCCCGGTACTGTTTATTTTAACGAAAAAACCACATTTTTACACTAAAAAGTCAATCATAGTACTATTCACTTTACATTTTATTTTGTCTTTATCGTTAAAACTCAAAATTTTTAAATCATTTTTATTAGTTTTTCTTTCTTTTATTTCTTTTGGAAGGTCTCAACGTAGTACGTGCATGCATCATGCATGCTGTAGTTCATTTTAATTTTTTTTTTTCTTTACAGGATTTTACATTAATTGCTATTTCTTTTCTTATGCATTGGGTCTGATTTCTGATGATATCAAACTAGGGCTCCAAAGATTCTCCGCATCTCGAGTTTGTCATCTTCGTCGATTGTTCAATGTTGTGGCTCATAAATTGGCCAAGTTGGTTTTATTTTTTAATTTCTTTTATGGTTAGTTTGAGGAGCCTTTATATATAATCTAGGGAGCTCTCCCTAGAAATTGCATTTATTTGAATAAAATCCCTTTTGTTTTATCTCAAAAAATTATTTGAAAACATTTAGTTTATTTATTTCCATCTTAAATCTTAAAGGGACCCGTTCATGATACTCTTGAAATTTACGGCATGATTGTCATTCCTTGATTAGTCTAGACGTTTTTGGAGATTAATTTGGGGCAACGAACTCGGACAATTTGTAATATATTGTACAAACATTTATATAAAAGGTGGTGATCGATTGCTTTGAAACATGGCCAGATCAAGAGAAAGAAATTGAATTGATGTATATATATTTGTACACTCAATGAAAGAATGTTTAAATTAATACATGAGATCAACAACTTTGCAATCAAATATTTATAAATTTATACATATATTTCCACACAAGAAGATTAACTAATCAATTCTAGGGGGAAAACGCCTTCTTCTTGAAACTGGTTGGCGCTGCCCTAATCCAAGCTTTGCCGTCAATGGAGTCCTTAGTTATGAAAGGTGCAGCTTCTTCACTCGTTAGGACTCGTGACCAGTCAACTCTTTTTGCTGTCACTGCTCCAGGTCCAGAACATTTGTATTGTCCATAGTAAACAGAACTGCATATACATCAATTTAAACAAAATTAGAAATTGAGCCAATGTAAATTAAAAAAAATTAAAAAAAAGATTACAAAATTAAGGATAAAAAAAGCCGTTATTAGCAATCGAAAATAGTCATCATATAAAAAACAAAGGAGCACCTGGTCATAATTTGGAATACTAATAAAAATTCTCGTCAGAGTTACCTTAATTGGTCGGCTGAGTCACCCCAGTCGTTCCAACCCTGAGGGAGTATGATATTAGGCATGTAAGTGAAGGCAAAAATGACTCTGGAATAGACACCCCATGGTCTTCCTAACACTGCCGTTTTGACGCCAGTGATCTTGCACCCAAAGAAAAAGAACCCAGTGTCCTCTGAAGGTGACATCCTCCGTTGGGCTGTTATGGCTCCTCCTCCATTCGAAATCGAATGCAAATGGCACTTCTGCAAAATTTAATTAATTTATTCATCAATTGAAGGCCAAACATATGAATTAGCACCATACTAATTAATCCTTGAGAAATCATTGAGCTGATGGTCCTAACATCACATGCATGTTACTAGCTACTAATCTGCATATTATAATATATAGATAGATGAAGTGTATCATGAACATATTGATAACAACACGTGATAGTGTGACGGTTTAGACCGAAACAATAAAATCAATAATTTTCAAAAAACAAAACGCTAACAATATTGTTTTCTTATATAAGTTACCTCAAAAAAAGAAGCACCATTTCCACATATAAAATCAGTGGCTCCTTCAATATAGCAGTTGTTGTAGTAGTGCCTGCCGGTATCGTCAAGTAGGGTATCTTGGTAAGACAAAATTCTGCACACATAAAATGCTGCTCTATCTCCTGAGACCCTTAGCGCCACTGCTTTACCACCGCTTCCATAAGTGTTCTGCAATGAATTCAGCAATTAAAATTATTAGATTCAAGCGTATATATGCATGGACATGCATGTGAAACGTACTATACGTACACACACACACACACACACATATAAATATATGTACCTGAATTGTGAGGTAGCGCCCTATAAAATCCGACGCCAACACAGAGAAAGTTGCAGATTCAAATATATCTCCGCTGTCGTTCCACGTAATTATAGTGTTAACTGCCTTTGTGCCACTTATTGTAACAAAGGGTTTGTCCGCGGGGACAGTAATTTTTTCTTTGTACACTCCAGGCTTAACCCTAATGAACACAAGATCGACGTTATTCGATGGCACCGCGTCGATGGCATCTTGTATTTTCTCGTAATCACCTTTCCCGGACTGATCCACGGTTATTAGAATTGCCGTGGACCCCTGAGTTGTTTCTGCTTCTGCTTGAGAAAGCGCCAGAAGAACATACAATGAAGCCATGACAAAGAAGCACTTGGTCGTCATAGAAGTACCACAAACAGCCACCATGGTCGAAATTAGAGGTTTTTGGCTCAAATACTCTTAAAAAATCAATGAATATATGCGTACGTTGAAATGAATATTGAAGAACGTGGATTGGAATTTGAATGTTGAAGAAGATGGATGGATGTTGATTGTTATATAGTAGTTACAGGTGGATGCCGAGGGAGGTGGGGCCGTTTTCTTGACAATAAAGTGTTTGAAGAATTATTAGAATTAATCACTTTTCACGTAAACGTGTGGAGGATAATTGTAAGGAATTTCCAGGGTAGCCGGCGGCAGGATATTTGTACCTTGAGACTGAAGAAACAAATGTTTGAAATTAAAATGAGTGATATGAGGTGGTTAAGATCAGATTATATTGATATGAAATGTTGTAATGGCGGCCTAATTGGATTGTTGATGTTACACAAGTCTTGAGGTTGCTTAAGAAGTAGAATTAGTTTGTCGTTTGTGTGATATTAGGGTTTATCACCCATTACGTTATTTGAGCAGGCAGCTCGGTTGCTTGGATTTGGAGTTTTGACATTGGCTGCCACCGGTGTAAAATAAAGCTGGAAGCCTGGAACTGGTCCAAATTATATATTCTCACAATGAATTAAAAAAGGCGATCGCCATAGGTCTAAGGCCATTGCACTACTAAAAGAAAAACCGACAAAAATCATTGATATTAATCACATAAAATAAAATGAGCAAAAATTTGGGAGGCGTATCAATAACTAATGAAGTTATTAGCTACTAAAAGGCCTTTACGCTCTTTATTTTGTGCATTGCGTGCAACTAATATTGATTATTGTCAGCTTTTCTCGTGGCACTTGTGGAAACATAAACACTGTAAGGAGTAATTGTTTGGATTCATACATGTCCTATGCATGCATCTAAAAAGTTACATTTGTCACTAAATTTAAGTCTCAACTATAAGAGTCTACAACTTGATTACTGAAGGAAAGTAAACTAATAGATTTACAAAGTTTTCTACTATACTCAAAAAAAATTTTAGTTGTGATGGGAACACATGTTTTTATGCAAGTGGTGGAAAATTTTAATTTTTAAGTTATTAACCTTTTAACACACATAACCAACCATTTATATAAAGACAAGTGATGTACTACCTCGTGTAACGGTCACATTGAAAAATCTCTCCTATACTCGCCCCCATCCAAGTTTTGCCCTAAAATTTTACCCCTCATAAAATTATGACAAGTGGATTAAAGGAAGCAAAACAAGAAACAATCCCAAAAGTCCTGGACGGGCAGCACCTTTTTCACAACCACTCCATTGCACATCACCCCACCCCTCGATGGAGGCTCCTCCTACAGTTGGAACTCCATGTTGCCCTAATCCTGCATTGTTTCTTCCTCCTCCTCCTCCAATGGGAATGGGTGCTGCATGTTTCCATCCTCCTCCATTGTTTCTTTCTCGTTCTCCTCCGGCAGCAGGAGGAGGTGCTCTATGTTGCCCTCCTCCCCCAACCGGAGTAGGAGGTCCTTTTTGCCATCCTCCTGCAAAGGGAGGGGGAGCTCCATATTGTCCTCCTCCTGAAATGGAAGGAGGAGGTCCATGTTGCCATCCTCCTGCAAAGGAAGCGGGAGCTCCATATTGTCCTCCTTCTCTAGTTGCGGGAGGAGGAGGTCCATGTTGCCCTCCACCTCCAATGGGAGTAGGAGATCCTTGTTTCCCTCCATCTCCAATAGATGTAGGAGGTCCTTGTTGCCGTCCTCCATTGTTTCCTTCTCCATCTCTTCTGACACGAGGGGGAGCTCCATATTTCCATCCTCCTCCATCGGAACCTTGCCAGCTTCCAATTCCAAAGCCCCTAACCTTGTTCATGAAGGATGTAAATTCTTTTGGCGTAACTTTGTGTTCCCACGCAACTCTTTCTGCTGTCACGGCTCCAGCTCCAGTACATTTGTACTCACCATAGTAAACCTTACTACATACCCATCAAGTTGAAACCAAATTAGAAAGACCTTAAAACAAATAAATAAATAGAGTAATTAAATAAAATAATTAACCTAATTACTAAAAATTAACGTGAGAAAATGTAAACCTTAAGTAGTCAGTTGATCGGCCCCAACTGTCCCAACCTTGTGGGAGAATCGCATCCGACATCTTAGTATAGGCAAAGATGACTGTCGAATAGGGACCCCATGGCCTTCCTAGTACTGCCCTTCCGACGCCAGTGATTTCGCCTCCCAAGAACACAAACCCTGCATCTTGTGATGGTGAATCCCTTTTTTGGGCTGTTATAGCTCCGTTTTGTTCCGAAAGCGAATGCATGTGACAATTCTGCTAGTGTGAGTGTATTAGTTTGGCATGTCCAAATAATTTTATCGTAAATATATATAGCTGTCACATACGTACCTCAAATAAAGAAGAAGCTCTTCCAAATATAAAATCAGTGTCTCCTTCAATGTAGCAGTCTTTGTAGTATTGCTTGCCTATATCGGCAAATAAGGCATCTTGATGAGACATAATGCTGCAACCATAGAATGCTACTCTATCTCCCGAAACTCTCAGTGCAACTGCTTTGCCACCCGTCCCATACGTATTCTGAACTTTGAAGTTGCGCCCTACGAAATCAGATGCCCATAAAGTGAAGACCGCGGTTTCATTTATCTCGCCGGATTCCTTCCACGTTATCACAGTGTCGCTTGCATAACTTGTCGATCCACTTATTGTTATAAACGGTTTGTCTGAAGGTACATTAATCTTTTCGTAGTAGATGCCAGGTTTAACCCAAATATACACGGGCAGGGCATTGTTGGACGGCACAGCATCGATGGCGTCTTGTATTTTAGTGTAATCGTTGCTGCCTGACTGGTCGACGGTTATAAAAACCGTTGGGGGCGCCAGGGCTATGTTCACTTGAGCTGCTTGGGATAGCGCATGCCTAAAAGTTGGAAGTAATAAGGCCATGGAGAAGAAGCACCTGATCATACGGCTCACAAATTTAGCCATTATACTCGTAAATGCAGGGGCTTGGGATCCGTAGAGAGAAACAAAGAGAGATGTTCTGTGAGATATGTAGATGTTTGTAAATATATAGTGGTTTGCTCCCATATACATGCTATGTACATGTAGGAATACTGGTATATGGTAATATCTCCATGTTCAGGTAGGAGTTCAAGCAGTCGATCGGCAGCAAAAGCTCTGGAAGTTACCCGTTTCAACTCTGTTCTTCTCGATTTGAATTTGATTTTAATATATAACAATAAACGTTTTTACCAATTTAATTGGGATTCCGCCCTTGCCTTTGGACTCCTTTATTTTTGGGGAAAGATTTTTGAGTGCTGAAATTACATTCCCTTTCTGAATGCCAAATAGTTCTTCTAGTTCTTTCTGTCATGTGGACTGTACTTCTATCTTATGCATGGCTCATAATAGTCTATACCTCCAGTCCAGTCCACATTTCATTCACGAAAATAAACATGTCAACAAGATAAGTTTTCTTCTATTTTACGTACCACTAAGCAGTCTGTAAAATCAACAGTTAGATTTTGTATATAAAAATTTAATAGATTTTTGCAACAGTTAAATTTTATACAAAACCTGTATCACTAATTAAGTGGTATGTATTATTGTAGCGGACAAGCAGATGAACGATAAAGTTGATATGTGTTTAGTTTTGATATGTCTTCTAGCGGTATTGATTTTGTTTTAAATAATAAATGAACGATAAGGTTGATATGTCATAGACATTTGAGTTCTTGATTATTAATAATTACTAGTGTTATTATTTTTTATTTAAGTGAATTTAAAACTATACAGTAGTGTGTGTAACCATCACGTTGTGACATATTATTGTAATTAGTAATGTTATTTAGACACAAAAATGATATTTTGGTCACAAATCTCTAATGCAAATTAATCTCATGTACATACACTAATAAACTAGTAAATCGAAACAGGAAATCACTTCCTTTTTTTTTTGAACAAAATCATTTCTTTTTTTCTTTTTTTTTAACAAACAATACCATCTACAGTCTTGGCTAGCAACAATTTAGTTCAAATTCACCTTTGATGAGAATCGAACCTAAAACTTCTCATTTACGAGTGAAGAATAATACTATTAGACTGTAGTACAAAACATTTTTCTTTTTTGAATGGCAAAGATTTCGTGTAGTTCTTTATATCGTGCGGGCTCTAATTCCATCTTGTGGCTCACATTGTTGTCTATTCCTCTCGTCCAGTATGTCATGCACGAAAATAAACATGTCGATACGAGACCTAAAAAGAAGAGGCAACTCCTTTGAAAAACCGGCCTAGTCCATAAAACCCCGATCTTGCATGAAATCACTAGCTTAATAAATAAATAGGATAAATCTCAATTTACTACTTTCAAGTTTCGTGATTTTCAAAATTTAGTACATGAAATTTTTTTCGTTCCAGAATCATACATAAAGTGTTAATTTTAGAACAGTCTCATACATCCGTTAGTCTGACTGTTAAGTCTCTCGTTAACTGATAACGTGACATCATATGTACAATAACAAGGCACACGTGTCATTAAAAAAATATATATATATATTAAAATAATGAATTAAATAAAAGTATTTAAAAAATAATAAAAAAAACCCAGAATCTCCTTCGTCTTCCCTACACCCCACCATCCCCTCCACCCCCTTCTCCCATCCCTCATCATCCACTCCTTGCCCACCCGAGCCACCCTTTCTCCGATCCACTCCTACACTTCTACTCCCTCCTCCAGCTCCCATGAAACCATCTCCGCCACTATCACTCCCTCATCCAGCTCTCAACAGCAGCAACAACAAGTCTACCAGCCATTCCGGCCGCTCCCATCTCCAATCCCCTCCAAATTCCGCTCCCTAGACGCCAATGGCCGCCTTGAGATCCTCGCCAACAGCCTCGGCCTCTGGTTCGAATACGCCCCCCTAATCCCTTCCCTAACCCAAGAAGGCTTCACTCCCCCTACCATCGAAGAAATCACCAGCATTTCCAGCGTCGAGCAAAACCGCCTGGTGGTGGCGGCGAAGGTGAATGACTCTTTAGTCCAATCCAACACCGACCTAGAAATCGTTTCTGAATTTGACTTGGGGGGTTTTGAATTGCTGTACGAAATTCGGCTCCTGAGTGTCCAGCAGCGAGCTGCTGCTGCCTATTTCATAATTGAGAACAAGCTTGATGCCAAAGGAACTTAGGATTTGGCCCGTTCGATAAAGGACTTCCCTCGTCGGCGAACCGAAAAAGGTTGGGCGAGCTTTGACTATGTCAGCGTTGGTGATTGTTTAAGGTTTATGTATTTTAGGCAGGCGATGGAGCACAAGAATCCATCTGAACCTAGAATTGCTGCTTTAGAGCAGGCATTGAAGGTTGCACAGACTGATAAGGCTAGAAAGGTAATTTTGAAAGAGTTGGAGGGAGAAAGTGAGGAGAAGGAGGGGGGAGGACAATGTTGCAGTGGGGGTTCAGGTTCCGGTTGTGAGGTTGAAGTTTGGGGAGGTGGCAGAGTCGACTAAAGTTGCGATCTTGACGGTTTGTAGAGTGGATGAGAAGGATAAGGAGGTTATGGAGGCCCCGTGAGAGTGTAGGAGTAAGGGGATGGGAGAATGGTGGCTCGGGTGGGCAAGGGATGGGTGATGGGGGATGAGAGAAGGAGGTGCTCGGGTGGAGAAGACGAAGGGGGTGGAGGGTGGGGTAGACGAAGGGGGTTATGGATTTTTTTAAATTTTTTATTTAATTTTCTTAATATTTTTATTTAATTAATTATTTTAATATTTTTAATTACACATGGCGTTCAGTCATTGTCCACATAGGTACCATGTCATCAATTAATATGAAACTTAACAGTCAGACTAACAGATGTATGAGATTGTCCTAAAATTAACATTTTAGGTATGACTCTGGAATGAAAAAAAACTTCATTTACTAAATATTAAAAACCACAAAATTTGAGGATAGTAAACTAAGATTTATCCCAAAAATAATACAATTAGCAGAAAAATCCACATAGTATGTTACACAAAAATAGCTGGCATTTCTCCTGATATTTCAACTGTGGCAGTGTATTTTATAAAAACAAGGAGGATGGGGCATGGCTACCTGGTGGGAGTATCAATATAATTGAGATACTAATCATATTGTCAATTGATTTTATAGTGAAACTTCAATTTTTTTCATTATATCAAAGCAGGATGTCCTTCGTGTGAATGCCCCGGCGTGCTCCACGTCACTCAATTTGTGTTGTCCATGTGCTAAGCTTGAAAATTCGCCACACAAAAGTAGGTATGTTGAGAGTATCAATCTCATGCAGGACGTTGTATATGCTTATTAGTAATTGAGCTATTCTTTAATTATATTGTCATTTGATTTAATGGTAGAACCTCAACTTTCTTAATTAGCCAAACCTTTTCCATATTCAATAACGATTTATATGAATAGATTCACCATCATCTTGCATTTTGATTTAATTATACAAAGATATAATGCTATGTGTAAATTTTTATTCACATAACATTATATTATTATATAAAGTGGTTCTCTTGCGAAAGTTACCAATCAATTAAATTTGGAGGAAACAAGCTTTGGTGTATCCTCGTTGGCAGTACGCCTCCAGGTCCAGCAGTAGTCATGGCTGCCACTGCTTAATAATTTTTGCTAAATGTTTTGGTCACGCCTACTTGTTCCCACCTTGCCAGTTGGAAGGACTTATTTGTTTGTGTTTAATATGATATATGAATTATGCTTGTTATGATCTGAGTACTTGAACTAAAATAATTAAATTGGTGGTTGAGTGGACCATGGCTAATCATGTCTTCCACCAACAAAACAAGAGGTTAGATCTCATTAACATTCTATGAATACATGGCTATGAGGATAACTATCTTTGTCAATACTTTAATAATATTTGTGAAATGGTACTGAGAATCACTCACACGTGGATTTGTCTATAATTATTTCATTTGCAAACGAAAGACGCACACATGCACGATTATCCTTAACATTAATGAGAGACTTTCACTTACATATTTCATACGATTTAACTGTTTTACATGCATCTTAATGAAGAAAAATCTAGTTGATAATCACTTAAGTCCGTGAAATTGTTTTTTCTCGTATCATAAGATAGAAACTTTTTTACAACTAGAATGGTGAAGTGGCAAAATCTTAACCATGTGCTCGATATGTTTTAACTAATTTTTTTCAGTTCGTGATTAACTAGAGATACTAATACAATAACATTCCGTCTCATAACAATCTTCCTCCCAAACGTAGCTCTAATATTTCCGGTGAACAATCTCATCTGAGATTGAAAGACAAGACCTGTCTTTCTACTTTCCATTTCCTCCAAAACACCCAACAAAGCTAATCCAATCCAAACCAATCCGATCCAATGATTGCCCTGATGTTAAGTGATCAATTAAATTGTTTGCCAAACACGTACGCATTCGTCTTTCAGCCCATTCCCTGTATTTAGAAAACTGATGCATGAAAACGAAAGCCTAGAATAATTAAGAACAAAAGCACGTAGATAAGGGCAATAGCACGTGCAAGTGTGGCTGCTGCTGGTGACCTTGCTGAGACCGACTCGTCCGTCAAATAATTTCTGGGTATCCCGCCCGGGGCTTCAACTCCAAACACTAAAACTCACTCGTACTAATTTTCGAGAATATTCCTATATTTATATATTTCTCCGATGCCACCAGGCAAAACTTTTGGTGGATTCGAGCGAAGAATCAATATATAATTATACTTCCCATGCATGCATTGCATGCTTCGGAGTCTCGGACTTTGTGGATCTTTTTCGGGACGATATATCAAAATAATATAATAAGTCGAACCTAAAAGGCTTTAAATAATAAGTAGGCCTTTTTGGGTACGACTTAAATAATAAGTTCAAACATTTTATATTTAAAAAGAAAACTATACTTAATGTACAATGAAAATTTATTATTTAAGATCTAATTTATAGCTTTATTTTTTCTTATAAGAAATTGTTATTGGCAATGCAGAAATTTAATTGTGCGCTTTAAATTTTTAAAATTTTTAGATTGTTAATAATAATTATCTTATTATTCTGATTATTAATTAACGAGGACGTCCCAATGGGCCTTGCCTCACCAAGTGTGAAGGATTCCTACTCGCACGTGTTGAGAGTTGGTGTACTTTCGGCTACTTGTCGCACACTTCGCGTGGATTGAAAATACGTAAAAGAAAGATGTTTCAACTATAGTACGACTAGCTCACGTCTCTATTTGGTGGTTGTAGGGACGGATGGACATTAGGGCCACTCGGAGTTCGAGAAAACATATATGTGAAGATCTTTTCAGAACCCGCATAATGTTTTATACGAGTCTTTTTTATACTTACCAAGTGTTTGATGTAATGTTTGTTAAGAATATCTCGATAGGTTACGTCGACAAATTCTCTCTGTATCCTCATAAGATTGCTTGAGCATATATCGATATCTGTTGATATGTGTACAACATAGTTTGATTGACAACAACAAGCTCACCATGTGGTCTACGAAATGCCAATGAATAAACTTAATTACCACATATTGCCTTAATTAATCTTCTAAAAAAGACTGATTTCCATAGTGGAAAATCTTGTCACAGGGCTGTATGTTCTTCGCTTTTTGCAACTACTAACCAACTATGTATATTTGTAAACTGCAGTATTTTTCTATTTTTCAAGAATCCTATTGGTCACTAACCGACTCGTACGCATATGCAAGGAAGGAACCGGATCCCTCCGGATCCTTCAAAATTAAGCTCACTAATCAATGAATCCGGATTATTGAAATTTAATCCAATGACTGCAAATAGGGAGCTTCTTTAAAAGTTATAATAATTATAACCGTTTGATCAAATTTTAATGATCCGAATTCATTAATTAGTGGACTCAATGTTGAAAGATCCGGACGGAATCCGGTTCCCATATGCAACACCGTGTTCTCATAAGAAAATCAGACAGACGCGACCGTAGGATGGGTACCCGGTTAAAAGAGCGGCCACAAACATATCTTCCAACAAAGCGGGGCCCATCGCAACGGAGAACGCACTGAAGCAAGCGGTCGCACACGTGGAAGTGGGGCCCCAGTAGTTTAACCGGCAAACAATAGGAGGAGGATTCCAACCTCCTCTCCCAAAAGAGATAGCTTTTCGGTTGGGGGAGAGAGAGAGAGAGGGTCAGGTGTTAGTGGCGGCGCAGTGCTGCAACCAACTGTAAACAACCGCAATCTCCACAGCAATTCAACTTAAATTAAATTTCAATTTTCATTTGGATATTTTATTCAGAAATTGAAATATCAGCTTCTTTGGCGTTGTTCGTTTTTTGCCTCGCCCATCTGGCCAATAGCATAAGTATATACCCTCTCTCTCTCTCTCTCCTCTCTCACATTCTCTCTCTAAAGCCTTTGTATTTGTCCCGACATTGGTGATTTCCTAGAAGCCTCCTGAAATCCCCACACGCATATGGTACAATCTCTCTCTCTCTCTCTCTCTCTCTCTCGCACGCGCACACTCTCTTTCTGTGGAGTGCATTTTGGAGCTTCTTCAAGCGATCCAGATTTTCGGTGTTTTTATAGGATCTCAACTTTTTGCATTTTTTGTGGCATTGTTCTTGCGATTTCAGGTTCGGAATGTGAAAGTTTTGATATTTAGTGTAAATTTTGAGTATTTAATTTGATTGTTTATGTTCTTAGAACTTGATCGTATAGATTCTTATGGAAACTTTTCGTATAAGTAGATCTGCGAAATCACGAAAAAGATCATCTACAACATTTGAACTGTGATCATAGTTGTGGTGGAAATACTAGTCCAGTGAGCGATGCAATTCGGAAACGTGTTTCACGAGCTATTCGAGATGAGAGGTGACAAGGGGAAGAAATCAAGAAGAGGAGGGGAAGAGAGGAAGCACACGCGCCGCCGTGCGAAATCTCACATTGCCCCGGAACATACATTGTCATCACCCGCAGCAGTTGAGCAAACCAAGTGGGCAAACTTGCCCCCGGAGTTGCTTCTCGACATAATCCAACGCGTTGAAGCGAGTGAGACTTCCTGGCCTGCTCGGAGGGATGTGATTGCTTGCGCTTCGGTTTGCAAGTCGTGGAGGGAGATTACGAAAGGGATAGTCAAGACTCCAGAGCAATGTGGCTGGCTTACCTTCCCTGTCTCACTCAAGCAGGTATTTTTCGATAAAACGAGGTTTCTTTAGGTTATTCTTACTGAATGTGACTTTCACTTGCCTGCTGAAGATTTTTACTTTCCTCATTACTTGCATATATTTACTAGCCGGGACCAAGAGATGATCCGATCCAGTGCTTTATTAAGAGGGAAAGAGAAACTTCAACATACCTACTGTATCTTGGTCTTAGCCCTGGTAAGGATGCTTCTCCCGTTGTTATTCACGAATCATGACTTGGGTGCGTGTTAGATATCGGTGTTCAAATTCTTTTGGAGTGGATTTGTAAGCCAGTGACTAATTCTTTCTTATAAATCTGTAGCTCTGTGTGGGGACGTGAGTAAGTTATTGCTGGCAGCAAGGAAGGTCAGACGGGCAACAAGTACACATTTTGTTGTGTCCTTGGTTGCAGATGAATTCTCTCGAGCAAGCATTACTTATGTTGGAAAATTGAGGCAAGCTTTACAATGTATCTTTATCGTTGCCACGATTTTTTTCAATTTGTGCTCACTGCAACCACCACTCATTCTTTTTTGTGTGCAATTCATTGGCAAATGAACAGGTCTAATTTTCTGGGATCCAAGTTTACCGTTTATGACAGTCAGCCTCCACAAGACTCAGCAATCCAAACAAATTATCAGTCACATCGAAAAATCAATCCAAAGAAGGTATCTCCAAGGATGACTGCTGGTAGCTATAGTGTTGCTACTGTATCGTACGAGCTCAATATCCTCCGAACAAGGGGACCAAGGAGAATGCAATGCATCATGCAATCAATACCCATGTCAGCAGTTCAGGAAGGGGGCGTTGCTCCTACTCCAACAGAGTTAGCGACCTGCCTTCCTCCAAATTGCTGTGCATTGCAAGTTTCAAAGGGATCGAAGCAGCTTGCCAACTTTTGCTCTAGTGACCCCACAACGGATTTGGAACAAGGCACAAAAGATCCGGTCATTTTGAAAAACAAAGCTCCTAGATGGCACGAGCAGCTGCAGTGTTGGTGTCTGAATTTTAAGGGACGCGTTACAGTGGCCTCTGTGAAGAATTTCCAGCTGGTGGCCGCTGCAGAGCCTTGCCATAATGCTCCATTGGCTGAAGAAGAGAAAGTAATACTGCAATTCGGGAAGATTGGTAAAGACATTTTCACAATGGACTATCGCTACCCTCTCTCTGCTTTCCAAGCCTTCGCAATTTGCTTGAGCAGCTTTGACACGAAACCAGTCTGCGAATGATTACTGTCTATTCGCATCACATGACCATCATGCTCGTCTTCCCTTAGAATGAACTGTAAATATACTTTTGAAACAGAGCACTTTAAGTTATGGCTTTTGGTCATCAGCAAGTGCCTTTGCTGAAGTTGCCGTAGTCTGTGTAATGGCAGTAACCCGTATAAAGCATGCTGTAAGTTGCCAATTTATTTATTTGCGTGAACGCAGTTGTATGCAACTGGAGGATGTACGAAAGTCCGTCTTTTCTCATAAGGGTCTCTTGTATTGAATCTTGATATTCAAATGCAATTTTGTACATATTTCATATTAACTTCTGATTCTCGTATTATACAAGTATGGTTACAGTTATACACGCCGTATATTTTTCTTACATATCTGCTGGCAGATCTTAGTAGAAAATCCCAATACCGTAACCGTAGCAACAGCCATGATGCCGAGGCTTATCAGGATTACCTGAGTCCGAGTCACTTGGTTCCATGAAGAGCCCTCAAGGGCACCTCCGTCTCACAGTGGACTAAGCTTCTCAGGTGTTTGTGTTATTTCAGCCTTGTGTGTTTCGAGGGGCTTTGATTTACCGTTTGGCTTGATGGTTCTGCTGGCTTTTGAGAAAAAACCGACTGAACACCCGGATTCCTTTCTGCGACAGAAGTATTGAACACGATAGAATTATTGATACTCTGTACATTGCTGTTGGTATATGCTATCCTCTGATGATCTTGACTCGTCTGGTCGAAATTTTCCCCCTCGCTGCTTTCCTCTTCATCAGTAGTAGCTTCCAGGCTGTCATCTGGATTGGTCTTATAACTGCGGTGTATGGGCATGAATTCTTCTCCGTTTTCTGGTTCTGAGCTATTGTGCATTGTTGCTCCTCTGTTTTCACCAGATAGGGTTACGATGCTAACTGGTTTTTCAAGCATTTGGTCCTCAGTGGCCAACTTATTCATTTCCAAAGCAGCTTCCTTGATTTCTTTATGCAGGGGAGCTTGTTCCGCGGTCAATGAAACCATCTTCTGATTAGACACCCTTGAGGTGCTTCTGTCTTTTGGAGTTTGGGTTGGTTTCGAACTGGAGGTGGTGCTGCCTAATGTCTCGTTTCTGTCAAAAGTTTCTTGCTTTTTGTGTCGTTTCCTTTCTTCTTTTATCAGTGCTCGCAGTACTTTCTCCCTTTCTTCATGCTCTTTCGACTCCGTCTCTGATTCGGCATGGTGCTTTTGATCTCCGCCAACGGTATCAGGATCTGCCTTCTCGGGTGAAGCAACTGTTTCTACAGCTTCTGTGGAAGCTGCATGAGTTTGCTCTGCGGTTGGAGTCTTATTCTGAGCTTTGGGAATAGTTTCGGATGTGCTGATTTCTGCATATGGTTCCTTTGGTTCTGGTTGAGTGGCAGGTGATGGAGATTCAGCAGACAAGGAAGGAAGCGGAGAGTTCTCTTGAGTGTGGGGCTGCAATTGCGCGTGAGGGGATTCTTGTGATGCTCCTTGGAGTTGAGAGGCTGTGTGAGATGGTGAGGATCGAAAGGATTCAACCCCAGTCTGTGCTGTTGCACTAGAAGTTTGTTGGGACTCAGTGGCAGCACGAGATGGTGAGGATGGAGAGGAATCAACTTCAACCCGAGTTTGAGTTGTTGCACTAGAAGATTTTTGGGACTCGGTGGCAGAACGAGATGGTGATGGTGGCGGAGGTTCAATCTTCAATGGAGCCTGAGCTTGGGAAGGAGAGGCTTTCACAGGGCTTCCCCGCAGGCCGAAATGGTGGTCGCTCAACAGGGGCTGAGGTGGAAGTCTGGGCAGGGTTTTGGGTTTTAGCCACTGGACGTGGGTCGGGTTCTACTTTAGAACCACGACTACGCCAAGGGAGCCGAAAGCGAAGTGAATGTGTTTGCTTTTTGCTTGCCATGTATGGTTTGGAAACTAGAAGGATTGGCTTTGTTGAAGAAGATGAAGGATGCACACCACTTAATCAAAGGTCTGGTGTATATATCGAAATTGTATCAGATACCTTGGAAACTTTCTGGGATTTCTGTCGAATTTTTTTATACCTTTTCTGGGTATGGATGCTCACTTCTCTTACAAACTTACGATTCATGAGAAATCGGCAATTTCCGAAGGCAGGTTTACCTTCCCTAACAGCTCTGGAATCTCTCATTTCGTCTTTCGGAGGACCCCGACAGGCATGTTGAGTACATATACTTTGCTGGGATGCCGTCTCAAGAGCACAGTTCACGTTATGTTTAAGAAGGGTTGCTACTGTTTGAAATATCTTCACATTTTTTTCATTCAGCTCAATCATGCTTTCTCGGGAGAGAAACTTACCAACGTCTGGGATTCCACGGTGGCTTTGAAGTTTCGAGATGAATTTAGGTAACGCGAACGGAGCTAGCTTTCCAAATAAATTTTCCACCTGGGCAAGTAACCTGGCAAAGAAGTAAACAATGTAGAAGCAGAGTAAACTTTCCTTCATGTAAGAAAAGAATAAGAGGAAAGCACATTGTCAAGTAAAACATTACTTACACCAGAATCTTGCTCCTGCTGCTACAGCGAATTACCATACATGAGCGTACACCTTCTCCGTCCAAACGGAGCTTCCGATCGAGTTGAGGTAGTGTTTCGTATCTGCACACCAAGGTCTGTATCAATAGTTTTCATCTGTTTCTTTTCTCTAAGTTGGTTCAACCCACAACTCGTCGGAAGCTTTCGTGATTTTTCCTTAAACAGGAACAGTGGAGAAATTGCCGGGTAAGAAAAGATAGTTTCACGTTTAAAATGGGTCACCTTACCTCTCCACCTGCCAGGGCCGGTCTAAAGATTTTTGAGGCCCTCGGCGACGTCAAAAAATGTGTTATCATTTCTACTAATTAATAAAATACTCATTGTCAACCAAAATTTTATAAAATTATCAGTTTAACCTATCTAATTAAAACATATCATGAATAAGAAATATGGGGCATAAATGTAATTTCACACAACCAAAGTTTGCTGGTTTTTTTTTCAAAGCCTCACCTACATGTAAATATAACATATCTCTAATTAAAATAATAAAATAAATAATAATAAATAAATAAAAACTTCTCACTCTCACATTCTCTATCACTCTCTTCTTCTCTCCTTCTATTTCAAAACCAAAATAAAAAAAAATTCTCACACACTTTGTGTGTGCCTGTGCCCATACACTAGTTTTATATAAGAAAATTATTTGTTTTCACACGTAAGACATCGATAAAATTATACTTAGAAAAGCACTTCAAACATAATAATTTAGAAACACGGAAAAACTAATTTATTTTGTATCGTGAGAAGGAAACAAAAAAACTCTTTGTTTACAAGTAGATAGATATGAGTTTTGTTTTCTATCTGAACTTTTAAAGTGTTTTTGTATAAATCGTGAGGTGTTTTTTCTTATTTACTAACCTTGTCAATATGGGACTAAAAAAATAATGATGTTTTTGAGTCTTTAATTGATATGTATAAGAAATAAATGTGTACTAAATTAAACTTTTTAATGACACGTCATATGATTTACAAATTTGGTCAACGCATTACTCTTTGTTGAAGATTAGACTTGAATTGGAACAAATGTTTAAAAATAACAACCCACATAGCTACTAGCTACTAATTAAAAATAAATTAACAACCAAACAAAAATTTGTAAAAATTGAAAAGAATAAACATGCACTTAGCATTTCGAACTTAGGACCTCTCATTAATTTTAGGCTAAATATCCAAAAATGGTCCCTGAAATTTGCATAGTCAATATAAATAATCCCTGAGATTGTCCACCATCCATGATTTTGGTCATTCCGTTAAAAAATCTTTGGGCAATTTTCAAAACTTCGTAACTCAATTGATTCTTAACCAAATTCAACCCATAATATATCAAAATGAAGATAGGAAAGTGTAGAACAAAATTATACCTATTTGGAAGCCCTATTGGTTGCCGGAGATGGCTGAAAAATAGCCTGAAAGGTGATTGGTTTGAGAGAAAACTGGAAAACTCGCTAGAAACTGGGTAATCTTTAAACGTTCATAACTTCTTTAATACTCAACGAAATCAAGTGATTCAAAAATGAAAAATCATACTTCACGATGAGACAAAGATAATGGTACCTTACACGACGGCTAACTCGCCTTGGTTTGGCTGGAAAATGGCTCGAAAGTGACTAAATTTTACTCAACAAAATCAAGTGATTCAAAAATGAAAAATCATACTTCACGATGAGACAAAGATAATGATACCTTACACGACGGCTAACTCGCCTTGGTTTGGCCGGAAAATGGCTTGAAAGTGGCTAAATTTGTAAAAATTGAAAAGTATGTAAGCACACATGGTGTTTTGAACCCAAGACCTCCTCATTAATTTCAAACAACAAAACCAACGAAACCATTAGTTCTAGTTAAATTTTTGTCATTGAACCAAATTTTATAAATTTATACTCTTATGAAAACATATATAAATATACTACCCTAATAATTTTGCCCTGCCAGCACTGGGCCTGAGTCGGCCCTACCACCTGCACAGGAAAAAGGACTAGAGAATGCAACAGTGGCAGATGTACTGGCGATAGAGGATAATGAAGAAAACGGACCCTGGCTCTGGTGCAACACGAACGACGCTGTCATTGGTGTGTTGGATTTATTCCAATGTAAATCAACCTTAAATGGTCTACAACATATAATAGGAATGTAATATTGGAGAATAATGTAGATATTGTGATTTGATTTCCTAAAGATATCAATCTTATATTAGGTGTCTTGTAATACAAGTAAGATTGATGGAGTCATTGATTTTATGTGATTATGATACCTAACTGATAGGCTAAAAAGTGGGATTTGGGATTCCTTTATGGACGAAACCTTAATGCCTTAGCCAGTATAATTACTAAGGTCCCTGCAAACCCTAGATACGCAACAAACGCTTCCCACAAAGTAGTTGTATCCGGTTAGGTGCTTTGTAGAAGACTTTGGTGTTGCCGCATCCTACATCATCTCCGCTTGGTATTCAATGGCTATTGCTTCACGATTAGGTCAGTCAACTCCTTGTTTGTGTTTTAATTATATAACCACCTAAAGTTTACTTTGTGCAGTAAAAAAAATGTACGATCTTACCATGCATATGTAAATATGATATTCATACTACACTCATGTTTAAGTTTCATATGCGCATGAAAATGCAGATGGTGAAAAACAATATCGGGTCGTTAGTGTTGCTTAAGCCAGGAGAGCAACAACATATTGCAGGAATCATCACTGAAAGAGGTAAACTATTTACAGAACTAACTGCATGAAAAAATTAATGTCTCAACGAGTTATTCTGATTCTATTGACCGCGGCATAAACCGAGCAGACTATCTCAAGTAATCGCACAGGAAAGATCGCCTATAGACAAGAGTTGGAAATTATGACTAATGAGGTCAGTTCAAGTTCACATTCTTAGATACTAATTTACTTTGAACACGCGATTTTTGTTATGAACTTAACTATTTAACAAATTAATAACAGTAACATCCGACATGAGCATTCTTCAAGCAATGCAACTTATGACAGGTATGCTGTGGCCGCAATTTCTATTCTTTAACTAGCATAGACATTGGAGTGAACAATCTTTGGTTGTTTATAAACTCGTGGAAGCAATTACGTGATGATTTTTTTTATGTCAAAAGAGTATCGTATAAGGCATGTTCAAGTTATAGACGGGAAGCTAGTTGGCGTGATTTCGATCAAAGATGTAGTCCGGGCAGTGGGTGAGCAGCAAAGTGGGGAACTGAAGCGACTCAATGGGTACATTAAAGGAGAATACTGTTAGAAGAACATGTCTCAGTTTGATGTCAATCAAATTACTTTAGAGCAAATTTCAGAAATGCCTCCCAACAGAAAGCTTTCTAAGACTCGTATTTCAGACAGTTGAGAGAGGGGAAGGTTACTAAAAATGTCATGTGTTCTCATAAATTAAGTGCTTGAGTGATAAGCTTTTAGTGCCCCATATACTTCTGATAGAAATAGAAGGCAAGAGACTTGTAGTTCAAGTAATTGTTTTGAGCCTTACTTAGCCCCATCTATGCATAAGTGAGGGTTATCTTTTAAAAAAAAAGTTCCCTCACCGTTATTTTAGGATCCACTCTCTTCATTTAGGGACCCGTTTATTTTCACTCTCATATTATCTCTAATCTTTGAACCCTTCACGTACACTGTAGCATCACAGTACCATAATGAAACATCACCCGAACACCCAAAATCCTAATGTTCTTGTGTGAGTGATTTCATAGTGTCGATCTCGTTGATCCATTTTTGAACACCAACCAACCATTTTTTGTAAACACAAAATGGGATAATATGGTCTTTCGACAAGAAGTCGGGCCAAGGAACAATATTCACGATCCCATTTGCATCCAATTTCGAACGCAACATATATACTCTATCTAGAAATTGCAGATTCAATTTCAATTTCTTAGGACCTCTAAATTTGATACGTTCGGCATACTACAAGGCATATATCTCGGCACAAAGATTGCACAATTCCCATTGGCTGGCAAATGAAACTTGTTATCTTTTCGAACATTCTATCAACACAGGATTGTTCTCTCTCCTAGTAAGATTCAAAAATCAGAAGCCCACAAGATTTTATGCAAAAGTTCTCCTTTTAAGAGGAATTTTTAGTTGTAACATAAACACAGATGGTACATCTGAAAAATTTTAACTTTTAAGTTATTAATTTTTTAACACACATAATCTACTATTTATATAAGAATATGTGATATACTACTTCGTGTACGGTCATACTACAAAATCTCTCCTTAGAGTGGTCCTCCTTCAAAGCTCGAAGCTTTTCTGTGGCAGATGATTGGACCTTGTGTGGTGGGGAAGCTGGACTCCAATTCCTCCAAAGTCATTGGTCATTGGCTTTTGGTCAGACCAATTAGCCTATTTCTAATCTAAAGGACATCAGATGTCAAAAGTTTTGGGTCCTCAAAAGTCATGGACTGTGAAAGAAACTTCTTATTCCCCATCTTCTTAGCTATCTAATTGTGAATACTTCCTTTGAGGCCATTATGAGGAGGAATTCATTGGTAAAGACGAACTGACCGCGTGGTTGTCTAATCAGACGCATTGGATGGGGCTGAAATTCAAGAGGAGTATTAATAGGTGCGGAGTTTTGTTTCTTAAGTCAAACAGTCATGTGGTCCGATCGTCCAAACTTAAGAATTTATCTCTATTGATAATGGAAGAGAAACCAATCTCTTATGACAATACGTAATTGGTCTAAAATACCATCATATTAGTTTGAGATATCATTCTTATCGGAGAAAAGTTCATCCTAAAAGCAAGGGACTAGTCAAACAATTTGGAGGGGTGGAGAGACCTTCTAGTGGGATAACTAAGAACAGAGATTCCACAAGAATTAAAAGGGATCCATAACATTATCACAACTTTCCCACAACTGGACTTAATATATTAAAAATTCAAAGAATCAAAGACATTTAGTGGATTTTTCAAACAAAGATTTCAAGCACATTTACCTGAATATATATGTTATCTCCTTGCTCCTCCATTGCTG